GAGGGCCTCAACGGCCAGCTCCCCAACCTGGATTTAGCTAACCTCTTCTATGCCTTCTGTCAGAAGATAGGAGTCCTTTGCACCATCCAGGGCAAGGTGAAGGCTTGTGATGAGATGTTATAGAAACACATTTTCTCTTCTGCCATGTGTTTGGTGAGCAGAATGCTTGGATAATCCACCCATGTCTTGGTTTTTATTTTTGCGTTTCTTGTGTTTCTGTGGCTGTTTGTACAGCTGCAGAGGAATGACTGGGACACTGTGTCAGGCTACAGCCATTCAGTCCAGACCATGATGCTGATGGTGATGAAGCAGGCCAGCGGGCGACCTTGGGGGGATCATGGCCTTTTCCTGCGATACCACATTGAGGCTGCCACCATCAAGGGCATCAACAGTTTCCGTCAGTACAAGACTGACACCACCACTATTGGCAGGTCAGAGCAAGTGTATACTGACTGTTATTAGTATTTAAGTTGTTTTTTTTGTAGATCCCACCTTCACAAGGTTTAATTGTTTTTTTCTGTCTTAATGAATATCCTCTAGGCTCCTGGAAGGAATGTATCGTAAACTGAACAACCTCCTAGAGCGCTTACACCAGTCCTACTTCTTCTACCTCATGCCGTCCCTCTCTCATTTTGTCTCCATTGGTTACTACATGCCAGCCTTCGGCCTCCTCGCCGTCATCCTGCTCCTTCGTGTATCCCTTATTTCACTTTGTTTGATTTAGCTTATAAAATATGACAGAGAAAAGCAAATGAATCACACAGAGCATGTATGTAGACCTACCCTGATTGCAGCCCAGGTTATTGATTAAATGTCAACACTGTTATTGATATGCACTTGTCAGATTTGCTCTTGACTATGATACAGGCATTAGACCTGTGGGTTCAACTTGCGACTCCGCCGCCAAGAACAGAAGATGGAATCGCTGACACTGAGGAGGTAAGACTCATGTTACGACAAAACGGGTCAGAAATTAAGCTATTTACTTATCTTGAGTCAATTAAATCCCCACTTTAATCAAATCTGCTTCCTCTCAGCCTTCCAGTCCAGGAGTGCTGTCAGTGTTAACTCCTCTGGTGATCAGCCATCTGACTGGGGTGGCTCTGTACACCCTGCCAATCAATTTTCAGGAGATGGCTGTGGAACACTTCCCGGTGTCTGAGACAGAGGCTGTGGTCCTGACGGCTATTGCTGTTTACACAGCAGGCCTGGCTTTGCCTCATAACACGCACAGGTAGCTACTTACACCTGCAAAACTAAACAGTCCTTTTGATTTTTTACATATATATTGGTTTATCGACAGCATCACATGTTAAGTCTTACAGTATTCTGATGTGCAGTAACATTGTTCAATATTGCGATAATGATGTGTGAATTGTGCTTATTAGCTATACGGTTTCTATGTCAGCCTTGTTGTCTTCAGAACAGGATTTGAATATAATATTTTAAATATAACTAAATGTTGTTTTTAGAGCAATTACAGTGAAGTTTACAACAGCAAAGTCACTATATAAACTCTATCACACTGGAAACAAAACTAAAATGTAAATGAAATTCCTGCCATCAAAATACTGACTGACATTTAGAAAGAATGAAAAACTCCCTCAGTTAGTCCTTCCTCTTGTCCTCCTCCCTCTGCTAATGTGATTCCCTGCCTGCAGGTACCAGTGGTAGAGAGAGGAAGTGCTTGTTTGTCTCAGCCACTAACTAAGTTTCCAAGAATGTGCCACTTTTTAAACAAGTCATGTTATGCTTTCTGGCTTTTCCCCTTTCGTTTAGTGTGTTATATATCTTTTTTGTGGTACCAATTATATAAACATTGAGGTTTGCAAAGTGAAAAAGCCCTAAGTCCAACCCAAAGGGAGCTGCCATCTCACACAGAAAACACTGCTCCTGAACTGCCTGAAAACAGCTCAATTGTAGTTCTGCCTTTACTTCCGTAATCTGTCCTTCACTTTGTAGCATGCATCATAATGCTTGCCTAGCGGAGTAAAATAACGATAGGGCAGTCTGCATCGTGATAATAAATACTTCAGTCAGTTTCTTATTCATGGCGTTTGAGGCACTCCCTTGTGGTGTGCTTATTGCTCGAGACGGCTTGTATTCATATCGCGATGACTATGAAAACATGATTTGTTGGTCAGCACTAGACTTTAATGAACAAAACCTAATTTCTTTACCATGTTAGTCACATTGCTAATGGCTTTTTTCACCCAAACTTTTAGCATAAAATATTAAGAGATGGGGAGTCCGACTTGAGTGCGCATACACAGAGACTCGTCCTCAAAAGACTTCAGACTCGACTCTAACTCGAGGAGGGGGACTCGTGAACAATGTTGATTTTTTAGGAAATGAGCTTGCTGTCATTCCTCTCCCTCTGTTACCTATAACGTGCCTACGTAACACGTAGTATCAACTGCGTGCGGCCACACGTGAGAGAGGACAACAAACACCAGTGTTCTGCCTGTTTATGCTACCTATCGAGATGTGCTACTTTCCCATGTTCGCAATTTGCATTAAGGTTGCATTTTTCGACAAGGAAGCATAAATTGTCAGAGCACCGGCAGCTGCTGTGCCATTCATCATAAACATTGGCTTTAAAACTTCATACAACAAGACCCAAACAAAGAAGTTGTTTAGCTCAGCATTGGCCATCTAACGTTAGCTTGCTTCTTGCTTTAGCTATGACCTACGGGAGGATAACGTCGATTAACGTCCCGCTGCCACCACGTTAATTATTAACGTCGGCTGCAAACAGGTTACAGGTTTATTGTTGATCATGTATTAATGTTAAAGTTTTATTTAGTAGCCTAACGTTACACTGGGTTTGGGAGTTTGGAGGATGCGTGACTTACAGGTAATGAGCTGTCATTAATTGTAGACTCATTAAGCTACATGGTTGTGCTCTGTAAGGGAAAAACTGGTTACAGAATTCCTTATAGCTATGCAATTTTATAAGCAGCCTGGTTTGAACGCTTGTGAGCATCTCTGGTACCAATTATATTAATATTGAGGTTACACAATGAATCTGAACGAAATAACACGCGAGAACAAATTTAAAGCAGAAAACTGTACTCAAAGTTTCCACACTGTGACCGTGAAGTACTCATGCGTACACACACAATAAAGAACGATTTTTATATGTGCGTCTGCATGTCACCTTATTGTTGAATAAGGGTACAGCTTTTTATTTTCAAATGTACGTTTTGTTTTTTTGTTTTTTTATAGAATCCCGGGCATCATATCCCAAACTCAAAATCTTATTGAGGCCATAGTTCTGCCATCAACGAGCTGAAAACAACCACAACATGCACAGCATTTAAGAGCTAGTTGAGAGACAGTGAGCAACTTGTACTGCTTTAAGAGGACTGTGTTGCAGGAGAGTGAGCTGTTTGCTGTCATGTTTGTTGAAGGCTCCTGTCAGGCGAGGGGACGGAGCAGGGCTGGAGAGTGCTGAAGCTGGTAGCTGTGCTGTATCTGGCTGTGCTGCTGGGTTGCACCGCCCTCATCAACTTCTCCCTGGGCTTCATCCTGGCCCTCACACTGGTTCCTGTGGCTGCCTTCGTCACACCCCACGTACCAAAGTAATACACCTGGACAGACTCTTTGGCTGTTGTAGCTCTGTACTGCCACTTGTTAGTCAAAGTAAAACCATACTCTCCTCTTCTCTTCTGCCCCCACTCCCCCCTCCCCTCCTCTCTTTAGGATTCTATCAGCCTTCATCCTGGTCATCCTCAGCCCAGCCTGCACGCTCCTCTTTTCTGTCTTTTTCTTCCAAGAGCTGCAGGAAGTGCCTGTCAGCTTCCAGGAAGGTTGGTTGCTCTACCTGTCAGTCATTTCACAGGGCATCCTGGACCACTCCCTGTACGGCTCTCTGGTTTACCCACTCATAGCCCTGCTGGTCTATCCTTGTTGGCTGCTTTTCTGGAACATCCTCTTCTGGAAGTAAATGCCAGCCATATAGGACTAATGGATGCTTTGATGGTGTTCTCAGGTTTGTCTTCACTGGGGGAAATGTGAGTGACCGTTAAATCCAGAGAGTGAGAAATTGCAAAAGACGTGAAAAGAATGCAGTGACTGTGGACATTTTGTTGATATTTCATTCTTAAAACATAGGAGAAAAATCTGGTTTTCTTGACAAAACTAAGCAGAATACTGTTTTGTACTGTACATCTCACTTACAAATAATGTGTGGAAGAGGGGGTGATCTTTACCCATATATAACATAGTTGGGTGGTTTTCTGTGTAATTTGATTTAATGATTTCTTTGTGGTACATAAAGAAAACGACTGCACTGTTTGTTTTATAGCCCTTTTATCTTATCAGGCAGGGTGGTGATAAATGAAACGGCTGTTGAAATGGAAGAAACTACCTGTTAGTCTGCCTCCTTTTAAGACGCCTGTATCTGTTGGTCACTACATTAAATATTTTTATACTTTATTTGAAAACTTTCTTTGAAACATGTTTTTCATATTTATAAATGCCAAATTAAAATACTGAAACGTTTGGCTCTCGTGTTTCATGCTTAATGTAAACAAACAATGTGGAGTCATAGATCATAAAGAGATGGTTGGGAAAACAAAGTATGGAACCTAATGCAACATTACTACCTGCATTAACTCAACTTAGACTTGAACCTGCTATGGAATGCTGGCTTTTGCGTGGGAAAAACTGCAATAATGGAGGACATGAACTACACTTAAGGTCAAAAACACCACATTTCTTCTTTAATCTGGCAGACTCAAGAGATACACTAAAATGTCCTGACATAGTTCCTAGTGTGGGTCAACGTAGTAACGTAGATATAGCCCAATCCAAGATGATTATTTTACCAACCATGGTAAATTCCCTCCACAGACAAGATTATACAAGTGTATCCCAGGTTGAGTAGTACTCCTGATGAGTAACCTGAGCTTCATCTGACTAACTGCTTTAAGCTGTGCACTTGAATCCATCAATTACTGCATCTCACAAGAACAAGAACAGACCAATAGACAGAATTTGTTTAGTGCCGTTATGTTTATTCAGCTAATGCGAGTTTTTACAGTATTATGTACTAAAACTGATCATTCCATTGCTGTCACAGCTCAGAGAGAATTGAGTAAAATTAGATCAACTGCTAAAATGTACATCAATTACTCAATGCATCTTGTTAAAAATAATACACTTAATACAATGTTGTAAAAAAATAAAAGCACTTGACAAACCCTGTAAACGTGACGCACCTTCTCAGCCATGGCTTCCAACATTGTTTATGGCACCAACAGATGACACACTAACAAAAAAGAACAGGGTTCTGCACAAGGCGTCACCTCACCACGTTCCCCTCACTTCACAGTTGGCAGAAACTGAACGTTTCTTCATCTTCTGCTGCAAATGCAAAGAGCACGCATCATGTCTCTCTCCCCTAAATTAAATATAAAGCCCTCTGTGTTGTTTACACACCCTGTAAAATAAATAACAAAGTAGGTCAGGCCAAATTCAGAGGTCATGGTTATGTCCATCTAACTGGTCAAAGCTGACGCTCTCCGTTTGCAGTTCTGAGCCTTGACCTGTGCAGCTCTGTGTCATGCTACAGTGCTTCAAACGCTGCAGTCTTCAGCAGCCAACCAGCTGTCAGAGGACTCTCAGTGCATTTGACAGTCTTTGTGTGAGTATTTTGTCAACATGTACGTTGCAGATTTAGCATCCTCACTCCGTGTGTGCGTGTATGTGTGTGTGAGTGAGTGCGATATGGCGACCGATGATGGGCAGTCAGCTGCTGCTGCTTAAACCAGACTCCCCTCGATCCTCTCTCCTTCCTTTCTCCTTTGTGAGAGAATATAAGACATAAAAAGAAGGCGACTGTCACCGAGGGAAAAGATTACAAACAGGTATTGATTGCCAGATATTATGCAGTACCTGCTGGATGTGTGTGTCAGGTCTGGCCGTGGCGCAGATTTCGCACCCTGGACGGGACGGCTTGTTGATGAAAGTGCATGAGGGACAAGCCCACTCTGTCTGCTGAGAGGATGTGAGTTGACACAGATTTAAAAATAAATGATTTGGCTAATTATACTGTTATAAACATTTAGCCAGACAAAGTCAGACAAAGCTCATACATAATGTTCTTTATGTATCAAGCTTCAGCACAAATATTGGATATTTACAGGATCAAGTAGCAGTAGCAAATGTTAACAGATATTCTTAAAGATTCACAGTATTATTTAACAGTTTTGTTGGGAACTATAGATTCTATAAATATGCTTATTTGTATTCATCAAACATGGAGCATGTAAGCATGATATTTCTCTATTAGCTAAGGGTCTAATTGTAACTCTTCAAATATATAGATTACAAAACATAGTTAAGTTAGGACATTTGTCTTAAGAGAAGTTTAGAGGTTTATTTCCCTGCTTTTAAGCTGAAGTACTACTTGATTGTCGGTCCTAGTATAAAAAAAAAAAAAAAAAAAAAAAAAAAAAAAAAAGGTACCATATGGAGTTTTCTATTCAGTGTTTACATTCACCGTTTTCAGCAAACGGATTGTGTGTATCGTAGAGGCCTAATGAACATTCCCCCCTCCTCTTCCTAAACATTTGCAGAGGAACAACCTACAATATGTACGTCAATGATTGCTTGCTAGCATTCTTCTTCCTCGCCTTTGTAAGGGCTTTGCTATATGTCTTGGCGTGTTACTGCCAACAACTGACGGTTATGGGAAAAGCGTGAACCCATCAGCAGGACTGTCTGCGACACCCTCTCTTGTTCAATGGTATCCTTGTGTGTGTGCACGAGACATACAAACAAAACGATAGGTGCCTTCAAAATTACTGCGGCTGACTTTCTCCGACTGGTCAAATGTGAGCTGCAGGTGACTGCAGGGGCGGGATATAAAAATAGCGCCGTCAAGTCAGACACATTTTACCTGCGTGAGCTTAGAACAACGACTGATCTTGCTGCATTTGCAAAGAAAAATGCCGCGAGATCAGGCAAAAGGTGGTTCCAACTTTATGTAGCCGGAGAAAAGCAACTGCAGCCGCTTGACTTGGCGACTGCAGCCGCCTTAGTCCCACAAGGTTTCAATGTCATGTGACATGGTGACGTTTTGCAGCGCCAGTGAAAGTTGGACACAATTTCTAAGCATGCATAAAGTTAAGTCACCGCTGCGGAGTGCCTCATGTAGTCAAACGGACCTGTTGCCTCACTCTTAAAAACACTACTCCATAGCGCTTCTAGTGGTCAGAAAATCCACACAGTACCTTTAAGCTGCGATTCAGCACTCCATTAAACTCAAGTGCATCACTTTGTGTTGAACAGGGGTGGGCACATAAGGGCTCAGATTAGGGGAGTGACAATACACTTAGCTCACAAGACTTGACAATGCACAATATTGGGTTGACCATTAAACACTTAATTTTCTGCATTCTCGAGAAATGTTCAGCACCAATTTATGGTGGGAATGTATTCATTTATATAAAAACAAAAAAAACAAAATTCAGGTGGCAGGTGACAATTCAAAATATAATGGAATATAATACAGTAATCTATAGATAGCTTTTTTTTTAGCGTAATTTACTTCATTTGGACAATTGGACAAGACATTTGTTTCTTCTATATTTACGCAGCATTGCATGTTTTCTTATGGTGCAAATAAAACTTTCTCAAAGCATTTTTATTTGTCATCTAACATTTATTGTTGCAAGTAATTTATCAGAACGTCTTTAATAACAAATACTTTCAAAAAATGATGGAGACATGTCCCCAGCGTAAATGACACCTATGATTAAACTGCACGCTGATATTATAAAAAAGGCACCCATGACCTCGTCCCAGTATTTTCTACTGTTTTGCTAACAGTATAGACTGATGACATACCTGTGTTTTACTGGCTTTGTTGGTATGATCATTCAGCTGTAGATGCTCAATGTCGAGGACATCTTTGATGTCACCTGGTCTATCGCTTCCTCCACCTGTGCTCCCTGAAGTTGACAAAAGCAACAAAAACCAGTTTATAAAGCAATTCTTTTACTGTGTTGAATGTAGTCTTTACAATGAGTCTGAATATATTAGGACATGTTTCCTGTTGTTTCTGCTGTACATTAGCACATTGGATTTGAAATCAAACAATGACTTTAAGTTTATGACTGTGTTTACATCCAAATCAGGTTGACAATGAAGGAAAGATACATACAGATGTTGCAGATTTTCGGCCTTCGACAACAAATGTTGCGAATCATTGACAAAGCAAGTACTGTAGTACGCTGTAGGGGTACGATTCTTACACTGCAGGAAGAAGTTAACATAAACCTACACTGACTGAAGTCCCTAATCCACAGGCATCTGACACACACCGGACACTGGTGATGTTCTGCTTGTTTCAGGAAATACTTTGCCTTCAGTCTGCTCTTCAGCAAGTCAGGCACATAATGAGATGGCCAGCGCAGAACATTGCAGTGTTTGGCCTTAAAGCTGCTTTGGATATGCATTGTCTTGGGAACTATGTACAAAAAGGGCTATAAGTCCTACACTGTAAATGCTAAAACACCCTTAAAACTGAAAGGTAGCACTTTCACCTCATATTTATTAGTTTTAAATCCAAAGTCCTGGAGTCAAAAGAATGAGATCACTATAATATTTCTTGCCCAAACTGTGATGGTGAGGGTACATTTATTCATGATTCAACAACTTTATTGTCAGTGTGCAAGCAAAAAGAAATTACATTTGCATCATCCTCAAATGATGAGTTTGAGTTTCACACAGAAAGACATACACAATCTAAGCAATACAAGTGCTATACTCACCCTGGTTGTTGTGAGGAAGCCTCGAGGGCAGGGTGCTGTAACCCCTCCAGTCCTGGGAGGTGGGGCCGTTGCCTGGGGGGAGAGGTGGGGCGAGGAGGGCGCTCTCCAGGTCCTGCTGGAACAGCTGGCGAGTAATGCGGGCTTGTCGTGCAGAGATCAGGTAGAGGTACGCCGTGTCGCCGTCTTTCTGCACCCCGTAGGAGGCCAGTGACCTTGGCTCGGTGCACAAACACTGACCAATCACCCAGCGCTGCACGCGAGGATGGAAGCCGTACTCCAGAAACACCTGAAGAAACAAGAGCGGTGGGAGTTAGTGAATGAAAACCTCATTCACCTATTTAATTACTGACCAATTAAGAATTTTCTAACCTGTTGCTTGAGTGCGGCCACAGTCATGTAAGGAAAGACTTTCACTGTGACACAACAGGACGACGAAACATCCTCCACTACCACAGACAAACTGCAACACAGATATGGCACAGTATGTTGCAAAAAAACCCACATAAGCTGGAAGAAACATCAGCCACAGCGACCTTGAATAAATCTTCAACAGGTTTAATTTCTTACCTGATCTCTCCGTCTGCGTAGTTCTTTTCAGACAGTTGAATTGTGAGCACTGCTTTATGCCGAGCCAGAGCAGACGCATGCTGTGATGCGGCTTGAGTGTCACCTGCTTCAATCGCCCTGGCAAGCTCCAAGCATAGCTCCTCTAAAAAAAAACGAAAAGAGGTGGCAATCAAAAGTGACATTTTTAGAGCATGTTCTGGGGTAGAGAAGGAGAAAACACACGAGAGTAAACAGAGACACCCACCAGTGAGCGGCAGCGAGGCTGAGCTCCACTGCTCCATGGTTGCTGCTGTGTGGTTGTGTCTGCCATCTGATTCACATGTGTCAATATTTGCAACTGTCAGAAGAAAAAAAAAATAGAGACTTGTGGGTGTCAACACACACACCAATATCAACTGATATTTATTCCTGCTGCACTTTGCTGATAAAGGCCCCACGTATACATCAGCAAATCCCTTTAACAACACGGATTTTATATTCAGGTCACAGACACATGCATAGCATTTCCTTGTGTGTACTCAATTTACACTTAAACTAATAATTCCTTAATATATCCTCATGTCCATGTTTACAGTTGAAACAAGAATTGACATTATTGTTATTATATAATATAGTGTTATGTTGATTACAGTTTCTCAATGGGAATCATTAAAGTATTCTGATTAATAACTGATATATCCTTTGAACAGAAAACACAATCGGTCACAGAGAAGGCCAAACTGTTGTCAAACTGACCTCTATGTGCCTCTGTTAGTGATGACATCACCACTGTGGCCCATTCCTCGGCTTCACGGTCACAGCGGAAGTTGAAGCGGATGCAGTCGTGGGGCGGAGCAGCAAGGCGCATCTCATGGCAGCGAGGGGATTTGACCTCATACTGCACCGAGCGCAGGTCAAACTCCGCAATGAACTGAGGGTAAAACACAAAAACAAGTCCATCTCTAAATGCATATTGTCATTCTGCAAGGCCAAACGTTCTTCAATTTGTTTTTACAAAAATAAAACAAAAGAATTTGATCCCAGTGGCCATTGTATAATTTCCATTAATTAATCAGCCAATCATTTTCTTTATTAATTGATTACCGTTTAATCTACATAATGTCATGTGAAAAATGCACATTATATTGTCTCAGAGTCCATCTGCAAACTGATTGTTTTGTCTGACCAACAGTCCAAGATCCAAAAGATATTCCATGTACTAGCAAATCTTCACATTTGAAAAGCTGGAAACAATTTAGACATTTTTACTTGAAAAATGGCTAAAACAAGTAGTAAACACTTTCCTGTTTCAATTAATGAACTTTATGTTTTTGTGCTAGAGCTATGTGTTTTGTTTTTTAGGAAAAAGCAAAATTACATTTAAGCCTTCAAGGCAGCTTTGGACGTTTGCAAATACACCTAAATAGTAGCACACTGCTGACTTTTGAATTTGACATGAGCATGGAAATAAATAAAGTCCAAAACGTGAGTGCTAAATGCAGTACACTTTACACCTTACACTTTAGGTATGACGCTGTGAGAAATAGGAAATAATCTCCTGAAATCTGTCAAAGCAGGTCAAATACTCATTCTGACAGGGGAAGTCTCTTCATAAATTAGTGAGTTTGGCAGCACAGAAATTTTACACATAATCTGCCCACTAACGTTCACTGTGGCAGTGGAGGGAATCATTAGAGCATTGAAGAGTAGACGAAAGCAGCAAAGAGGGATTTGCCTCCTGCCAGAGTGCGTATTTACACTCTGATATGACTGTGTATGAAAAGTCTGCTAGCTCAGACAGACGAGCTAAAAGAAGCTGAGATCAAAGGAAAACCATGCAAATCAAGAAGCATCTCAATTGTCAGGGGGAAATCGGTCTGACTTCTGATTCTAACAAGATGAAAAGCTGATTCGGAGCCTTGCAGATTTTAGGCAGACGGCACACTGTGAACTTGACAAACAAAGGACAGATTTGAGAGTAAAGTTAGGATGAGGAGAGACATGCAGAGTGCAAAATAAGGTCAACTTCAGGCATGATCAAGCATGCGTGTCTACAGTTGGGACTGAAGTGTCCATTGACAGTAATCACCCATCATAGTGAAAGAGAAGAAATAACTTGTGAACTGAAATGTGCCCCACAGGGTCTGACCAGAGCAGCCCAATAGTTACCTTAATAGATAATATTTTATTAATCTATATTGTTAATTATCCCGCTAAATGTCAAATCATTATATCTTTCAAGTTTAAAGGCTGTTTTTTGGTCCTGAGTGAAAGTTGAAGAAACCAGAATGTGCTATTGTTTGGTCAGAACATGACAAACAGTGGGTCACTTCACAAATCTGAGGTAGAACATTCAAAACTTTTTTAATGATAACATCTTTTTTCAAATATGCATCAGGACCTTTTCCTCAACAAAATATATATCTTAATAGAAAAATTAAGTGCTGATTCGTTTGGGATTCAAATGAATTATATCAAACATTAATTGAACATTTGTTATTTGTTGTATTTATATTGAGGAAAATGATATCGCAGTAATTATTGTTATTGTTTTAAGCCCAAGATGATGCAATCAAATTGCTTGCTTTATTCAACCAAGATCTCAAAACCCCAACAATACTAAGTTCACAATCAGATATGACAAGGAAAAGCATTAAATTAGCCCAACTGAGAAGCTTTAACCAGCGAAAGTTTGGAATTTTTCTGCCTAAGAAATGAAAAGTCTGTTATCAAAATAGTTGCAGATTAATCTTCTGCTTGATCTTCTTTACGCTTGTTAAAGCACTTTGTAACTTGTTTTTGAAAAGTGCTCTACAAATAAAGATTATCATTATTATATTATTATTGATCGTTTTACAACGGAGTAAATTTGCCCTCCAAAGACGTTGTTATGTGCTCAAAAATAGACTCAATGTAGAGAAACTGAAATAAGATCGTAAAGGCCAAGAATATGATAAACGCAACTTGCTTGCAACAAAGAAAAGAGGGTTGGTAGAGCAGCAAATACAAAGCCAACAGCAAGGTGTGCTGTTGAGTTAACGGAAAGGGTGTCAAAAAAGTTCCAGCAGTGGCCAAGTGAAGATCATTTTTTCTTTTATTCTTTTATTTCACACTTGATTTGGCAATGTAAGGGCCTGTTTCCCATGCCAATAAAGCCCCACTGAATTGAATATTACTCACCTGTTAAAACTGCTGTTTTCAGTTCTGATGTCAGGAAAAATACCCCTGATGAGGTCAGAGGTTATCACTGATTGGGTTTGAGACTTAAGCATTTTAACAGAAAGTCTGCTAATGAACTTGGGAGTTTGAAAGATGCAGGCAAAAACCAGGCAGGGAGGTTTTTTAGTTGCATTACGGGAATTGTAGGACCTGATGTTTTTGGAGCTTGACACTTACTACAAACTAAAAGAGAGGATCCCTCTGCCTATGTTCCTTCAATTTTAAACATTCCTTTTTTTGTCTCTTGTGAGTCCCCAAATTTATGAAAGTGCAAAGCTAAATCATGGGGAGTGTCCCTTTAAGACACTGATGGCCCTGCAAGGCTTTAATGCTCATTAACACACCACTAAAACAAAGCTCTTGGATGATTGAAAGATGAAGACAAAACATTGCAACATCTAGATGGGCAAAAAAAATTAAAATTGGCCTTAAGGGTGCACCATAATAATGGTATTTTGTTAGCTGAATCTAAAGGCTATACCCTCTGTACCGACATCTCATATTAAGACACCTCAAACCTGCTTGTCAGTCTCAGCTCTACACTGTCAGACTTACTCAACCGTCCTCAGTTAGCATTGCAAATCAAGCTTAGTGTCTGTAGATACAAAATGAGATGGCAATTTCAGGCCAGAGTAAAGCAGTTTAGCCTGCTCACATTGAAAAGTGCTTTATGAAAGCAGAACATTTACCATAAACTCTTTATTGCTGGTTGCTGCTTCAAACAAACATTGAGCCTTGTGTGACATGAGTGTAAGCTGAGGCCGTGGTAAAGCACCTACAGCAGGTAAATGATCTAAATATCTGTGTTGAAAGTGGGTGTGTGGCATGCCAAAATTTCCTGTTAAGCCCACTAATGTTCCACTGTGTTATTAATATCTGTTAGACACAATCATAATAACACTTGTCAATACTCTTATCTCATGTCATTGAAAGACTCTATTCACCACCCCCAAACAAGCCACCACTGAAATGTAATGTAAAATCCATAATTTTCAAGGTCTAACCTCAGTTATTCAGGTTTCATAGTCTCGCCATTATCTGGTAAAGAGGAGAGTTTCTGGGACCAAAATACAGACTTTCAACAAGAAACAGTGGCACACAAGATGGTGTATGTATTATAAGCTTGTCACGCTACATATAACAAATACAGGCCGGTGGGTGGCGATGGGGAAGTGGATAAGATACATGCCTTTGTGTGGGAGAGCAAGACACTTTACCCCTGGTTGTTCCAGAAGCGTTAAATGCTGCTGACCTAGCAATTGTAATTGCTTTGAATAAAAGCGTCAGCTAAATGATTAAATGTAATGAAAACCGGTAGTTTGAGCTGACAACTGAGAGGGAAAATCCCCATCTGTCTTGCCATTAAGACCAGGAAAGTCTTACTGCAGCTGTTTATCATGATGCCCACTTGAAGGATTTCCCCCCTGATGATATTATTTTAATAAAACTGAATATGTAGTGAACATGGCATGACTGAAAATGAAAGTGAAACTAAATGACCCTCTTAACTATAGTATTTGTCTCTAAAAACACTGGGAGGCTTTAAACATCATATAGGCATCAATGTTTGAGCACTAAACTTGAGTTATTGCCAGATGAGTACCAGTTATGAAGCAAATGAAGAGGAAAGTTTAAAAATGCAGCTGAATTGTTGGTCTTTGGCGGGGTGTATGTTAAAGTAGATCCTTATAACACTTAGAGGAAGAACTTGGGTGATGTTGCAGCTGCCACATGAAACCTGCTGTGATTTTATCCCCAAATCTGGGTCTGTGTAGCTTCCAGCACTGGGGATTGAGAGCTCCATAAAATGGCGTGTACAGGCCTATGCTGGCATAAAATGTAAATGTGATTCGGCGAGGCGCTTCATCCCAAACATCTCTTACAGAGTAACGGAACACCCTCTAAAACTAAATATGCAGGTGTATGTGTGAAATCTTACCACACTGCGGTTTCCGCTCGTATCTCGCAGCGCCAGTCGGAACTCTCCGGCCCGGTTCGGGTCCATGCTGAGCTGTAGGCGCAAAGCCTCGCTTCCTGCTCCGGGGAGGCAAAGGGGCCGGATCCCGGAATGGCACACCGAAACCCGGACTGACATTAAAACAGTGCTGCAGCATGCCGCAAGCATAGGCCCGCCGCATACAGCCTGCTGGGACGAAGCAGGAACCGGGGCTTGAGAAGCCCAGCCGCCCGAGCTGAGTGCCATTGTCGCGGACACCAGAGGCGGAGTGAGGGTGTCGGAAGTCCCGCGGCAGGTGTTACTGCTGCCCGCTGCTTCTGTTTGGTTTATAAGGTCCAACAGTGTTTGACAAGACCGCGTTTCTTCACGGGCAGGCTGTGGATGTCTCCTCGACTCGCAAATTGTTCCATATCGACCCGACCCGAGCAGACATGGAGCGAAAAGAAAAACAAAACAGGAAGTAGAGGGGTACATCTCTTATTTATGTCCGTAGAGGAACTTGGAACGTGTAACAGCCGAGCTCGCATAAATGCCAAAAGGAAACACTCAAAGATAATTAGAAATGTATGTATTTATTTCCATTTTTTAAACAGCAGAGCAATGGACAAGCAATTAGTAATAAAAAAAACAAATTACATACAACCTCCTGCAGATGTAGGGGCAAAATAACGTTAAGCTTCTTAAGTTTAAAAATACAATATTTAGTTGTTGTACTTCACTTTATGAATGGCCACCCTAAAGTAGATATTTTGACATTATGTTTTCTGCAAACAGACTGGTTCCTTATTATAAGGCATGATTATTATTGCTCTTTACAAAGAAAACAGTCTGTTTGCAGATAACAGTCATAATATCTGCTTTAGCCTGGCCTTTATTTTATTAGTAAGAAAAACCACAAAGTAATGAAAATCAGTACAAGCTGGTGGCCTGACAAAAAGCAAACTTGCACAAAACAAACAGGAAGGAGTAAAAAAAAAAATTACACTTTCTACAAATGTAGAGGCAAAACCACATTTAAGAAGTGATGCTTAGTGAGAAATATAAAACATATAACAGAAAACTTATTGTATGAGTACAATTCTGAGTCAAATCCCTTGTATGTCACATCCCTGGCAGTAAAGCTGATTCTGATTCTGATTCTGAAAACATGCAACATGATGTATACAAAGATAAGTTATAGGATTTCAAGAGCTGGGATGAGAGGTTTGTTGGTCACCCCCTTCCCAAACTTAGCTTTCAAGTGATTGTCATTGTAATACAGAACTGCACATGGCAAGCTGCATGGCACACAGAAAAGCATTTATTTTATGTGTCACAATTTTTACAATATATCTTGCAAGGAAAGATTGAAATAAAATATCAATCTAGTTTAGGTGGGAACCAGGGACTTTGGAACAGGGATGATGTACACTGTTTGCATGGTGCCAGTTAAACCTGTAATTGATTTATAGACTTTGTTAACATCTGAGAGCAATGAATTGCAGTAGTTGGGTCTAGTGTGTAAGTAAGCTATTATGTAATAGCGAGGTATTACAGACATTTGAGTTATTTATCACCGGTTTAATGCAGCATATGTCTTCTCCTTTGTAACTTTAAGCCCTTGAACATGAATGAGATTAGCTTGATTTAAATTTTTGTCCCTGATGTGTACTAAATATCCCTTTACATGGATTTAATCTATACAGTATATAGATCATACTAAACTGCTAACGAATTCAAATCTTTGTCAAGATTTCCATGACTATAAACTATATCTAAACCAACAGACTGATACTTTAGTGGATATAGTCTATAGAGAGTATGTACTTCGGTCAGGACTAAAAGTTAATATACAACAAAGACGTACTGTTTTTCTTCAGTTAGTGTTTTAAAGTAAGTGAATGAATGCAATAAAATTACCCATATGCTTAAAACAGATATCAGCGCTGAACTGTCTATTAATAAGGCATCTAAAAAATCTTTAACTACAAATCCTGTCTACATGCAAATATTTAAACTTGCAGCAGGTGGGCCAGCAAGACACAGCTCAGCTCAGCCCACACGCTGGTCTGATAGAGGTGAAGAGCAAATACAGAGATGTCTTTCTTGCATAGATCAGTTCAAATGTTGAGAACATGAAGCAGTCACATTATGCAGTCCTGGCCAGACGAGCAAACCAGATCATGGAAGAGCTCAGACAAGTAAGTTATTGACATATCTGCAATATAGATTCATTTTATGCGATGATATCTGGAACCTCTGCTTTAATCCAACTGTCCATAGGGAGCGAGAAAGCCATACAACAAGGTGATAGATGTCTCCTGGGGTGACCCGCACAGGGCAGGTGTGAAGCCTCTGACATTCGTTCGACAGGTAATCTGTGACCTTCAAAGACTACTCATCTTTTAAGTGTATTAAAACTGCATGAGCAAGTTAACACATCTTCTTCCAGCTAAAAAAATTCTACTCTCTGCTGTTTGTCCGTTATTTACTATTACTACTATCATATTTTGCAGGTTCTTGCAGCATGTCTTTACCCTCAGCTTGTGAACAGTGACAAACTGCCTGTGGACGTCAGAGAGAGGGCCCAGAAGCTGCTTGGGGGATGTGCAGGAGGGAGTGTGGGTAAGAAATAGTCGGCCAAATCAAATTACAAAATAATTTCTACTTTTCTACTGACTTTTGCTAGTATCTCCCCAAGCAGATCGTTTTGGTTGTATTTGCCCATGTTTTGAGATTTCTGCCACAACCCCAACACAACAAGGGTGAACAGAATTTTGCATGAAGTGCTCATAGTGTAAACAAGACATAGAGTCTATTGCCACGCTGGCGGCTCTGAGGCTTTAATGCTCACTATGAAGAAGTCATACTATAAGAAATATTTCACTCTAACAAACAAATGTAAGCCTGCTGGTGGAGGAAAAGAGATCACCAGTCAGTAGGATTCCCTCTCTTAGGGATGAGATCTAACAGCAACTTACTCTACAAACCTGGCTGGTTTTCATGGGAACTTCCTCCAACTAAAGAAATAGTTCAGATAAAGACTGTTGAAATCTGTCCTTTATTTGCATTTGGATTGTCCAGAGTAACTGTTTCTGTAAAAAGATGTTGCTCTTAATTTTTTAAGTGTAATATTTAATTATTTTGGTAATAACATGGTGCAGAAATCTTAGAGACATCAGGCCAAGCATTATCTGCTTGGCCTGATGCCACTAGTCGTAAGTATGTAAGGAAGATTTTTTGTGGAGTGGACTCTTTAAGCAATGAACATTTTGTATAAAAAAAAAAAAAAAAAAAAAAAAAAATATATATATATATATATATATATATATAACCCCATTGTGTAACACTGTCTAATATTTACTGAGCACCGTACATCACAATGGTACAAATGTCATACCAAATGAAAGAATGAAGTTTTGTATTACGTCTTCCTATCTTATCTCACGATGGAGCTTTAGACTGTTGAATAGAGATTGTGCACTTGTGACAGTTTGCCCCATCGGCAGGTAAATTGTCACACTGGATTATCAAACAGTTAGAAAACTTAATTGTGAATATTGATTTCAATTTCAAATTGTAACCAGAACTAAAAAAAACAGAACTAAAAAGTAAAATCCATCAAAAAACAAACCTAGAGAATTTGGAAAATAAATAATTTAATTAAAAACAAAAATGTTGGCAGAGCACACTTTAACCTCTTTACTTTGAACTTTAAAATCAAACATTCTCTGGAGCTGTGCAAATAGATCTATGGTAATTGAATGTAATGCTGCAGATAACTTGCTTAAATGTTTAACTTCTTAACTAAACAGATGTGGTGTTAAACTTAAACCACGTGTTCTTTGGAATACTGTATGAAAATGGCTCCACATAGATGAGGCCAAAAGAGATGTCAGCGGCTTATGTCAAAATCCTGAGCTGTATTTCTAATTGATTTGTTCTTCAACATCACCTGCCTGACTGCAATAAACATTATGTCAGGTGGTGTACTGTCATTCTCTGTCTTCAGTTGATAATTTTCTTCCTTCCTTCAAAAACACGTTACTAGTACTAGTGTCAGAGGTAATTGTACAATTTCACATAGTTTTTTGAGCATTTTATATGTGTTTATTTGTACTGGGGGAAATAATCACATGTAACGACTTGCCCCAAAGTCATTAAGACAACTTGCCTCAAACTGACGTGTGCTAATGTTGGCTAAATCTCAAGGTTAGCTTAACATAGCACTTCAGCTGAAGTATCAAAAGACACATTATTGTCACCTCTACTTTGTGTAAAGTTATCATTTTGAACATTCACACCTAATAAGGTTGGTGCAAATGTTTTACTTTTGAAGCAAAAAAATAATAAAATTGTGATCACCTCAGATTACAGGTGAGGGAACAGGAAGTTGAACATAGAAAAAGAAGTCACACAAAAATGGCAACAAAATTTGATTTTTGTCATAGAGCCTCTAGTGTTGGAGTTATGAGCAGTGTGACAACTTACACATGAGACAACTTACCTGCTCTCCCCTACTATACACCGATAAGCCATAACATTATGATCACACTCATTATCTCGTTGCCATGGCATCTATTGGTGGGTGGGATATACCAGGCATCAAGTGAACATGTTTGGCAGCAAAAGGGAGATTATTATTATTTTTTCTTTTTATTTATTTATTACAGGGACAGTGCATATTCATAAACATTTCTGTCAATATGCCAGAATTAGCCTAAAGGCTATTTTTCATCTGCAGTCCCTAGACAGATGGTAAGAGTCACCCTAAAATGATTACGATGTGAGACATATGACCAGCAGGTGGTCATAATGTCATGGCTGTTCGGTGTATAATTGAAATAAATACAATCATGAACATATTCGCTTCATATATATGCTTTCGTGTGCGTTTTGAGAACGTTTCAGAATCTGGTTTATTTCTCCAGGTTCTTATACTGCTACTGCTGGTATATCGGAAATAGTCCAGAGGGTTTCTGAATTCATAACGAGACGAGATGGAGGAGTTCCATCTTACCCTGAAAACATATACATCAGCCCAGGCTCACAGTGGTCACTCACGGTAACAGTCAATATGTCTGACATCCTGTAAATCTTCTATCCAATCTCTTCCTCCTGTAGATCATCATCATCGCCAAGTTAACACAATCTTTTACTGTGCTTATTAGAACATTTTCAAAGTATTGGTGAATAGCGAGGGTTCACGCAGAACAGGTGTGCTGACTCCAGCGCCATGCCACTACACTACCATTTTGTCCATAGTGGAACTGGGAGGAGTCGTCTTTCCCTACTACCTGAGCGAGGAGCAGGGCTGGGAGCTGCAGCTAGAAGAGCTACATCGAGCGCTGGAATCTGCAAAGGGAGTCTGTAACCCTGTAGCTCTGTATGTCATCAACCCTGGAAATCCTTCAGGTAGTATAATGTCACCGGAATAGCTCGAGTATAATTTTGTATGAAAGAATTTGTATCACAGGGTTGTTTTCATGCCACGTTGCCTATAGGTCATGTTCAAAGCAGAAAATCAATGCAAGAGGTGATCCGGTTTGTTTCAGAGAAGAGGCTCTTCCTTCTGGCTGATGAGGTGAAGTCCTAATATATTGTAGTCTTTCCATGCACAATGAGAAATTTAAAAACATTAAGAAACGTGCAAATGGACACTTTAAATCACTGTGTTCTCCACCACAGGTCTATCAGGACTGTGTTTATGGGGAAAGGAGTGAGTTTGTCTCTTACAAGAGGGTCCTGTCTGAGATGGGCCCTCCTCTTTCAGACACGGTGGAGCTGGCATCCTTCCACTCAGCATCCAAAGGCTTCATGGGAGAGTAGGTTTGCAGGTCTTATGAGTTTCTAAAGTGCGTCAACTACTTTGTGCTGGGTGACCCTCATAAAAGTTACAGAAATGAAACCTTAGACAAAGGCTAAGTTGTCATTTAGACAAATCACCATAAGTCAGAAAAATGAAAAATGATTTTGAACATTTACAGTTACCATGACAACTGGGCAATGTCCATCTGCTGCGGAAGGTCATGCGATTTGACTGAAAGCTTTAGAACAGCTACTGATTGGACTGTTTTGTGTTTCTCCTACCAGATGTGGTCTGCGTGGTGGATATGTGGAGCTGGTAAATCTGGACCCCGCTGTTCTGAAAAACATTTACAAGCTGTTCTCGAAAGACAACTGTGCCCCTGTGTTGGGTCAGATTGCCTTGGATCTGATGACGAACCCTCCACAACCAGGAGATCCCTCATACCCCCTTTATAAAGCAGTGAGACCAGAGATATGCAATGTGTAATGAAGACATTTAAAAATGGCATTCCTCTAGGACCCAGTTTGATCATTTGCTTGGCTTTAACACCCTCTTCTGCAGGAGACACAACACTTCAGGTCCACGGTGGTTCACAATGTGAAGATAGTCCATCAGGTTGTTAACAGCCTGCCAGGTTTCTGCTGCCAACCAGTGGGAGGAGGAGCATTTGCCTTCCCCAGACTTCATCTTCCACCTAAAGCCATTCAGAAAGCCAAGGTTACGACAATTACCTTTAAGAATACAAAGTATACACTGCAAAACCAGAGCAAAATAACCATAAAAAGAAAAGAAAAAAGTCTTATCTTGTGCTTCAGTCAAAAAATATTTCCGATCCGATTATGTTTTTTTTGTTTGCTTCTTTTAGGAAGTGGGAATGCAACCAGATACGTTCTACTGTATCAGACTACTGGAGGAGGCTGGTGTGTTCATCACTCCTGGTTCTTACTACGGACAACAGGAGGGCACCCACCACATCAGGTATACCCATATCATGTTCTAAATGCAGATAAATTCCAGGCTTTACTACACAAAAAGCATGTTTTCCATAAACAACCCAATAAGACTTGGCAGAAAGAATCTTGCATATCGTGGCTGAACATCCTACTGTGAAAAACATCATACTGCACATAGGGGCCAATGATGTTGCGAAGCAACAGTCTGAAGTGTTGAAAGAGGACTTTAATAATCTGTTGAACACAGTCAGCTCTTTGAATGCTGAGGTGTTTATCAGTGGCCCTATACTGCCAATCCGAAGAGGAGCTGAGAGATTCAGCAGATTGATGGCATTGAACACGTGCCTCTCAACGGCATGTACTGTCCATTCAGTGCATTTCATCGAAAACTTTTACTTTCTGTGGGACCGCAGAGATCTTTTTAAGGCAGATGGACTTTGCCTTAACAAGTCAGGAGTAAAATTGTTCAGCTCCAACCTGTTTTACTTTCTGCGTCACTCATCTGTTCCCTCTGCCAAGGACAAGAGACAAGAGACTTCAAACCTTGAAGGAGAGCCACCTCAGCTGCCGCCGGAAGAGAGCTCTGATCACGGGAGACATCTGAGCCAAGAGGAAGCCAATCCTCACTGAAAACCAACAGTGAGGATTCACCATCTTTACCCCATCTAAGTCACCTTTATCTCCAGACACCCTTTCTCCCCTCTCCCCCCTGTTGGACTTCACTGATCACATGGAAGACCTGGTTAGAGCTAGGACCAAATTTACTCCCCGCACCTTCCCTCGCTCCACTCCCATTTTCTCTACCATAAACCCCCCTCACCGTCCACCTCCACCACTGGTTCTAAGTCCTCCAGGCTTGACACGTGTCACAAATACAGTGCACAACCCGCCTTCCCGCTCCGAAATGGCGAAAAAGCCCAGTAAGCTCTGTCTGATATATGCTGGGTCCAGGCTACAAGGAAAATAGCACTCATGACTCTTCCCAGGACAAGCCGGGGCCCAGTGTGCTGGTAGTCTTCTCCATCTCTGTTTTGACAGGTAACAGAAAAAGCATGGTGAATGTGTTAAGAAACAGGAAGCACTCAACATATCTTGAAACTTGGTTGGACCAAGATAACAGTGCAGCTGTCCTTATGGACTGACCCAACATGTGACGGAGCCCACACACAATAAGGGGCACACTTTGAACTTAGTCATCTCCAAGGGCCTGAACATTTCCAAGGTTGTGGTGACTGATGTTGCTCTCCCTGATCATTCCTGTGTTTTCTTTGAGAGTGCTATCTGTGTGCACACAAATGTTAAAACAGAGGTGATCACAAAACAGCATATCACTGAAAACACTAGTATTTTGAGTATTATTGAGGCTTTCTCCTCAACACCCGCCCTCTCACGGGTCTCAGTCAATGACCTTGTAGATAATTTCAGTTCTAAAATTACAAATGTTATTGATGCCATTGCACCAGCCAAGGTGAAGGTGGTCTCTGGTAAGAGAAGATCTCCATGGAGAAATGCCACGCTGGTTAGAACTCAAAAAAGAGAGTGTCGAAAAGCTGAACGTAGGTGGCGGAAAACAAATCTCCAGGTTCATTATGACATCTATAAAGAGAGACTTCACATTTATAATTTAGAACTGAGAAATCTATGAAGATTCTCAGTCATCCAGGTCATAGTTATCCAACGAAGGTTAAAGTCAAGGGCAACTGGACTTGGTTGAAGATACTGGAAGACGTTTCGTCCCTCAACGTATCCTATGACGTGACTTCTTTGTTCACCTGCATCCCCACCATAGAGGCAGTAGAAACCATTAGGAAACGGCTAACACAAGACAACACCCTGGACAACAGAACTAGCCTCAGCCCTGACTAGATCTGTAAATTACTCGACCTCTGTCTAAACACCACCTACTTCCAGTACAACAGAGGATTCTACAGACAGAAGCATAGCTGTGCCATGGGCTCACTGGTATCCCCGATTGTGGCAAACATCTACATGGAAGAAGTGGAGAATAAAGCCCTCAACTCCTTCAGAGGAACAGCACCGAGCCACTGGTACAGATATGTGGACGACACCTGGGTCAAAATTAAAAGCCAGGAAGTGAAAGCCTTCACAGAACACATCAACTCTGTGGACAGTAATATCAAGTTCACACGAGAAGATGTTCACAGTTCAACAGTTCAACAGTTTGGCCTTCCTGGACTGCGCTGTACACATTGAAGAGGACAGGAGCCTGCAGATTGGTGTTTACAGAAAACCCACACACACAGACCAATACCTACTGTTCGATTCCCACCACCCACTGGAGCACAAGCTAGGCGTCATGAGAACACTGCACCACAGAGCGGAAAACATACCAACAAGCGCCCAAGCCAGAGAGAAGGAACAGAACCACCTGAAGGGGGCACTTACAGCCTGTGGATACCCTAAATGGACCTTTGTGAAGACAGCCACAAGATCCAAGAAGAACAAAACTACAGGGGAGGAGGAAAAGACAGTCAAACACAACAACATTGTGATTCCATACGTGTCTGGAGTATCAGAGAAACTCAGGAGGATTTTCAACAAACATCCCTGTGTTTTTTAAACCCATGAACACACTAAGACAGATGCTGGTACACCCCAAAGACCGCACACCCAAACACAAGAAAAGCAATCTAGTGTATGCGGTCCAATGCAGTGAGGAATGCACAGACCTGTAAATTGGGGAGACTAAACAACCACTACACAAACGCATGGCTCAACAAAGAAGGGCCAACTCCTCAGGTCAGGACTCTGCAGTCTACTTACATCTGAAGGACAGGGGACACTTGTTTGAGGACCACCAGGTGCACATTTTAGACAGAGAAGATGGATGGTTTGAAAGAGGTGTCAAGGAAGCCATCTACACCCGGGTCGACATCTGAAATCCTCCTCATGCTGCCTTGATATTCTGCCAACAGGTTTTTTCAATAATGTGTCTAAATGCATGGCCTCAGATTTACTACAAATTGTCAACATGTCTCTCCTCTCAGGTTTTTTCCTCACAGGCCCTGAAAACTGCAGCAGTCATTAAGCCACTCTTAAAAAAGAGCAATCTAGACAGGTCACTAATGAGCAATTATAGGCCAATATCAAATCTCCCATTTTTAAGTAAAATCATTGAAAAGGCTGTTTTTCAACAGCTTAGTGCTTTCTTGGCACTAAATAACTGTTTTGATGTCTTCCAGTCAGGTTTTCGACCACACCACAGCACTGATACGGCTCTTGTTAAGGTCTTCAATGACATCCATTTAAACACTGACAGCGGCAGAATTTCAGTCTTAGTATTACTGGATCTCAGTGCTGCATTCAACACGGTCGACCACAACATATTACTAGACAGACTTGAAAACTGGGTTGGACTTTCTGGCACAGTACTAAAATGGTTTGAATCCAACTTAAAGGACAGGGACTACTTTGTGTCTATAGGTAATCACACATCTGAGCTGACAAAAATGATATGTGGAGTTTCCCAAGGCACCATTCTGGGGCCTCTTTTGTTTAACATTTACATGCTTCCACTGGCTCAGATTATGAAAAACAACAAAATGTTACCATAATTATGCAGATGACACACAGATTTACATAACCATTTCACCAGGGGACTATGATCCCATACAGGTGCTGAGTAACTGTATTGAGCAGGTCAACGGCTGGATGTGCCAAAATTTTCTTCAATCGAACAAAGATAAAACTGACGTTATTGTTTTTGGAGCCAGGGAGGAACGATTGAAAGTCAGCGCTTGACTTCACTCTGTAATGTTAAGAACCACAAATCAAGCCAGAAAGCTTGGTGTAGTCATGGACTCAGACCTGAATCTGAGGAGCCACATTAAGACAATTACAAAGTCAGCCTACTATCACCTGAAGAATATATCAAGGATTAAAGGACTTTGGTCTTGTCTCAGCAAGACCTGGAAAAACTTATCTATGCATTTATCTTCAGTTGACTCGACTACTGTAACAGTGTCCTTACAGGGCTCTCTAAGAAATCCATCAGACAGCTGCAGCTGATTCAGAACGCTGCTGCTCGAGTCCTCACTAAGACCAAAAAGGTGGATCACATCACTCCAGTTCTGAGGTCTTTACACTGACTTCCTGTATGTCAAAGAATTGAGCTCAAAATCCTGCTGTTTATAAAGCACTAAATGGTTTAGGGCCAAAATACATTTATCTTCTGCTTCGTTAAGAACCATCCAGACCTCTCAGGTCGTCTGGGGCAGGTTTGCTTTCTGTCCCCAGAGTCAAAACTAAACAAGGAGAAGCAGCGTTCAGTTTTTATGCTCCGTATATCTGGAACAAACTCCCAGATAACTGCAGGTCTGCTGAAACGGTCAGTTCTTTTAAATTAAGACTGAAGACTTTTCTTTTTACCATTGCTTTTAATTAAATATTTTAGATTTTTACCACTGCCTTTAACTAGTAGATTGATAACTTACACTTTTTTTTTTAAATGTGTATTTTTTCAGTTTCCCTATTTTGCTTTTAAACTTTTTTATATTTCCCTGTTGCTTTTATGTTTTATGTAAAGCACTTTGAATCACCTTGTTGTTGAAGTGCTATACAAATAAACTTGCCTTGCAAGGTCTATTTTAGAGTTAGTTGCATATTTCATGGAACATTAAATGTAACTATACACAGTAAATGGATACATTTTACACCCCAGATATTTAACCCCTTTTTTCCTCCCCCCTGCAGATTTTGCATTGAGACCCCTGAGGAAACTATGGAAGAAATACTGAGACGCCTGGCCTGCTTTCACACACAGTTTATGAAGGATTTTTCTTAAACAAAAGGCGCTTGAAAAAGTTGAACTATTTTCTTCTCTCACTTCCACTGATCTGCAGGTCATTACAAACAATAAAAAGGATCCAATCATTTTCCTCATGTTGGCATGTGAATATTTATTGTGATAAATTTGATATTACATACTGCAGGCAGTCTTTTTTTAAATGACCTTTGGCCAATGATCCTTTGTTTTTACTCGTTAAGAGTAAATTTTAAACTTCTGATTTTCAGAAAGCAAATAACCATAAATAAACCACAGTCCAAAATCCAGATGAATGGATTTCCTCACACCACATGGAGGTTTATCATTTACCCCAAAGGTAACAGTAGCAGACAGCAGTCCACTGTGGATTTGTGCTCTTCAAGAGTCCTGAACATTTTAGCACATTAAGTACCGATTCATATTTAAAAAAAATAAACTCATACAAATGAAATCCCACCATCCTTTTTGGTTTCTCTGCACCAGCCAGCAGAACAAACATGTAAAAAGTGCTCAATGTCATCAGTCCACCTCACCGTCACTGTTATGGTTCTGAACAAAAGGGTTAGAGTCTGTATTGTTGAGCAACTGTACGAGTAAGGAGATGAGCTTTCCATCTTGAGAAGAGTTGGTGACTGCATTGCTTGGATTATTGAGGTTGCGGTACATCATGGTCTGAATTGAAGTGCGTAGCTCCCACAGCAGCTCCCAGGTCTCGACGGGCAACTCGCAGCGCACCAGAGAGCGTCCGGGAAGCGTCACTTCCACTCTGTCTCCGTTCACTGGGGGATGAGAGACAGGACAGAGATTTACTTATGAAAAGATGATTTACTGCAAGTTGCAAATCTAACAGGGTGAATATATTGTAGTTACTTTTTTTGGTAGTACATGTCCTACCCCTTTCTGTGATATCACAGTCTGTCAGCAGCAGCAAGGCGAGTGGATGGACCGCAGAGGAGTCTCTGATAAAAACATTCCCGCTGGACTTAACAGCGCTGAAGAAGGTCAACCAGCGACTAGGCAGCTCTTTTCCTCTGCAACACGAAAAGGAAGACAATAAGTTTACATACTTCATATTAAAGTAAATGTATGCTGTGGTTGAATTTTCCAGCATGTTCAAACCTGTTCACTGAGGAGCGGTGAAGCAGTACTGGCCCACTAAATGTGCGGAAAGTCATACTGTTGGGGCGAAAGCGTCCTCCTTTGGTCACAACACCTTTCTTCACCTGAGGAAGAAGAAAAAAAAAAAAAAAAGTATGTCTAAATGTTCACCTCTAAAATGACAATTATAACAAAATGGTATTTGCAAACAGACAATTAAAGACTCCACTACCACAGCGGTCGAAAGGTCCTAATTGAAGTTATTTATTTAAGAGGCAGCCATGGTAAGATCTGGTCGAAGTCTCTAAATGTTAAGAAAAGGTGCTTCAGTGCTTCCTTTGTTACCTCTTTTAGCATAGTGTACACTCCTTTAAAGGAAAGGAGATAATGCCATCCCAAAATTCCTCGAGGCAGCAACATTTTACACCATGATGGATAAAGGACGTCGATCACCTGCTATTAAGCCTCCTCTTTTATGCCATAACTTGCTAATAACAAAAATTTAAGTCCATATGTGAGCTATGACTGTTATTACTCTTGTAAAATGATCAAATTGAGGACAATGTTGCAGCGTCAACATTATATGCTCAGTCTACAGTCAACAAAAAGTCAAGGATCATGCTAGATAACCTCTTCAGTAAATGTAATGTATTATTTACATAAATAACTGGAATTCATGTTGATTACTGGGGGGGGGGGGGTTAGGGTTAGTTTGTATTAGACCACAACAAAAGTAATGGAACAAATAATCTTAAAGTTAATAACATTTAATATTTGGTGGCATAACCCTTGCTTGCAATAACTGCCTCAAGCCTGCAACATCAAACTGTTGCATTCTTCATTTGTGAGGCTATTTCAGGCTTTTACTGCAGCGGCTTTCAGTTCTTGTTTGTTTTGGGGTGTTTCTATTGGGTTAAGGTCAGGTGATTGACTTGGGCAGTCTAAAACCTTCCACTTTTCCCCCCTGATGAAGTCCTTTGTTTTGTTGGCAGTGTGCTTTGGGTCATTGTCCTGCTGCTTGATAAGCTTCCACCCAATTAGTTTCAATGTATTTCGCCGTAAATTGGCAGACAAAATGTTTCTGTACACTTCTGAATTCATTCTGCTGCTACCATCATCAGTTACGTCAATAAATATTAATGAGCCTGTTCCAGAAGCAACCATGCATGCCCAAGCCTTGACATTACCTTCACCATGCTTCACAGATGAGCTTGTATGCTTCAGATCATAAGCAGTTCCTTTCTTTCTCCACACTTTGGCCTTTCCAGCACTTTGGTAGAGGTTAATCTTTGTCTCAGTCCATTAGATTATGTTCTATAACTTTTGTGGCTCATCTCTGTACTTCTTTGCAAATTTCAGCGACGAGGATGAGCTTTGAGTTTCTGAACCTGACTGTTTTGATTCTTACGATGAGAAGGATTAACATTACCTATCCCTTTGATGACGGGTAAGCATATTTATCTTATAAAAACCTTGTTTGCAGTGGTGCACTTAGTGCTTGGCTAACTGCGACCTTCTTGGCAAAAAAACCAAAATCTGCGTCTCTGACGCTTTGTGTGCCAGTAAGATGTCATGAACTTTGACAAATTGACTGCCCCTTTAATAAAGGGTTTACTTTATGTAAAAGTTATTTTCTTGTGTAAAACACTTACAAATCGTAACTTTATAGACCTGTAGGCTGTTCTCGGTGATCTCCTTTTGATAACTAACTTATTCTGATACATCTTCACCTCCATTCACAATTTGAAAAACATTATCTCTTGTGATGAGTAAATATGTTGTGACTATTTTATCATATTGTTCATAGGAACTAAGGAAATTCCAGTCTGGTAAATGAGGAATGAGCAACGCTGTATAAAATGTAATATTGTTAACGTATCGATCCTTCCTCCACTCCTGCGTTTTAGAGCCAATCATGGTCCGCGTTGACATTCTTATTTCTAGCTCCGCCCGATTAAAATGGAGGCTCTGCCTTTATTTACCCGTTGCCATGGTGAATCGTACCATCGGAGCTCCATTGATGATTGGTTCAACATACTCAGTTGACTGAACTAATTTTAAACACCTGTTCTGAAACCGGAAACTCTGAGTTTGACAGCTCAAAAGTTCGTCAACCCAGTTATTGAACCTGCTTTCTGAAGAAACATCTGTCAGTCACATCAGTGTTTCCCCCCCCGGCCCGCCACAATATCAACGCTGACCTATTTTTGTCCTTTTTTTTTACTAGGCCTATTTAAAATTGTATTTGATTGCAGAGCGCCGTAGCACATCCTCTCAATCGTCTCACTCGTCCCTCTCTCTCTCATTAACACAGCTGCACACTGTCAATGTCGGAGACCCAGCTTAAAAAGTTATTAGCAAGCATGTAAGGAGCCTAGCTAATAAGGAGAGCTAATTTAATGTTAGAAACACTTGGGTTTGACACTAGCACACTGTATATAGCTGGTAGTCAATACAGACTTCACGCAACCCCGCCCCCACCACAGTTACAGTGTCATTCTGTGGGAAACACTGCACGTTCCAATAGTTTTGCTCACTTGAAAAAAAATGGGTGGGTGGTATGTCCTGAGATGTTTAACACATCTAGATGTGAATACCAGGAAATGATAGCTGAAATTCTCAACTCTTGTCTCATAGTCATCTTTTGATCTTAAACCCCAATGTCTTCAGTGAACAACAAAAAAGAATTTGCTTTACCGTTCTTTTGGAGGGGTCCTTATACATTCTCCTTCTTTCGTTGACCTCATGACATTTTCCATTGTGGAAAAATGGTTAGGAGTAGTAGTTTTTTTAGTTTGACTGCAGCCTAAATATCACAAGAGCCCATATATAAACCTCAAGTAATATTTTAATGGACTCCTTTGTTGCCATGTACCTGAATGAGGTTGGGATAGAGTCCAGCCAGCAGTACAGCTTTAAGCAGCTCATCCTGGTTGCTGTGCTCGTTGTACAGAGAAGCGTGATGCTGGCACTCACTGGCACGAGACACCAGCTTGGCTTCGTGCAGGTTCTCGCTGAACTGAGACATGAGACCTGCAACATGATGGCACATTAAGAACACAAATTGTTTTATGAAAAGTAGTAAAAAGAAGACAAAATAAAAACAAATGTGTGATGAGTGTGATTTAGTGTGTATGTTTCAGAACTAACCACTGATGAATCGAAGGCCTGTCCTGGACAGAGTGTGTTTGTTCAGATATTCATCTCTGTCCTCTCTGTCCCCCTCCTGCTGAACTCTCCTCCAGCCCAACACAGCTCTGATAAACACCAAATAGTCGCTGTAGCTGCAGCCACTCAGAGCATCTTTCACCTGGACATACAGAACACAGATGACTGAATGCTTACTAATAAGTACATGGTTACACTTTATGCTGCGTTATTTTAAAACTACATGGATCAACAGGTGGGTGTTGAAACGGCTCACCTTGTTGACTAGTGTTCTGTTCTGCAGGCTGTTGTGAAAAGGGTCTCTGGTCAGACAAGCAGCTACAGACAACATGGGCAGAACACATCTGAACATGGTACTCAGGACGAGCACTTTGCCCAGACGAGGGTCACATGATATACAGGCAATGCGCTCTCCTAAAGGTGTCAGGGTTTCTGTTTTGTCCAAAACTCCTACAGAAGGAAACATTGACGGCTTAGACATCAACTTTAAATGTTTAACGATTGATTCAATTTAGACACGATGGTGTGACCTCACTAGCCAATCCATTACATTAGTTGTGAGTCACTCACCAATGTCTTGTAGATTTCGGACAGCATCTCTTACAGCTTCTTGCTCTGGACTGTCCAACACTTGGGATAAGAAATCTACAGCCTTCACACATACACACAAAATAAAAATATGGCATTCAATAACAGCAGGGAAACCCTCCCCCCCAATAAAAATAAATACATAAATTATGCCATTGTTCTTTAAATACCTTGCAGTCAGGACTGTGGATTTTGGCTTGCACTACTAAACTTTCAAGTGGGGTGCGCAGGATCTCCGGGATCGGGAAGGGAGTCATGGATTCCAGCTGCTTTCGTGGGAACAGGTGGTAGGACTGTCCGGGCTGACATCGCCCTGCTCTCCCCTTTCTTTGAGTCACATTAGAATGAGATATCCAGACTGTGTCCAGACAGGAGACCTGGAACACCAAAAGGAAACAGATTAGATTGTTACTGATTTGCTCTCATTTCCCCATCAGAAAATACAACAAACCACAAGCATAGTTTTAGCAGATCTGAAATGGTTTACAATGAAACGGATACTTTGACACTAACCTTAGTCAGGGGGTCATAATTCTGTTCTTTGTGAGTTCCTGCATCCACCACATGGACAATGTCATCAATGGTGATTGAGGTCTCAGCAATGTTAGTAGTGAGGACGATCTTCCTCTGCCCCCCTTGGGGGCGCTGAAACACTGCCTGCTGGTCTGCTACTGATAAACTCGAGTGCACTAAAAGAGAGGGAAAGAAATCATAAATGCAACTGTAGAGAGAAATCCTATCTCTATACTTATAGGACAAACAACCAGTCTTTGTTAATTTCTCTGTACTCTCTTACATGGCAAGATCATCTGTGAGCCTGAGGAAAAGTGGGGCCTCGCCTCTAGTTTCTCTTGAACAGCCCGGATGTCCTGCCATCCAGGGAGGAAACACAAACTGCACCTGAAGCATGAGGGGAAAGATTATTAAACAAATATGATTCAGGCCCATCGTCTTAAACAATGAAATAAAAGCATAATTTAAAAAAAAAAGAAAAAGAAAAAGAAATGAAAAGGTAGTTTGTTAGTTACCTGGCTCACCACGTTTGTCAATGTGCTCAATTACGTCGGCTACTAAATCAAGATCTGGTGTAACCTCATGTCTTCTTCCCTTTAAACAAGATAAAATACAAATTGTAGAAACCTATGCACACTACATACTGAAGTGGGATGAATGGTAAAGTAATGAAACACATGAAAAAAAAAAAAAAAGACAAATCTGGCAGACTCGAGTTTCACCTTCTTGTCCGTCTCCTCTCTCTGGACTGACGGTGGGCGTCCCATCTCTCTCAGCACATCCTCCAGGTATCGGTCCTTCACTGGGTGCATGAACCCAGGTACTTTAACAATTGGGCATCCTCCAAAGTACTGGGCCAGCCTCCGATTGTCCCCGGTAGCGCTCATAAGCACCACTCTAAGGTCAGGGTTTTCGTTTAACGTGGAGCGCAGCAGAGCCAGCAGCAGGTCCGTGTTAATGTCCCTCTCATGAACCTCATCCACCACCACATGGCTGATTCCCCTCAGGGACGGGTTCGACTGCAGCTTTCTGAGCAGGACGCCGACTGTGAGGAAGAGCAAGGCTCCTCCACTCTGCTCTGGTGGTCGGCTCTCAAGTCTCACCTGTGCACAGAAAAGAATGACTTACTTCTTGTACAAAACCTCCAAAAATATTCATAGATTTATCTACTAATGTGAATAACCGTAACAACCGCATAATAAAAAGACCGAACACATCTACTAGTAGAATTTTTATATGATAAGCAGTCACAATCTCTCTTCTTGAACTTTAATCAAATAATCTGGTTTATTAATTTAAATTCATCTTTTAAATCAAACACTATTGGTAGTTTGAACCAAATAGCATACAGTACAGCAAATTATATATTATATTTGGCCTGTTTATAAAAAAAAAAAATATAGGTTCTGCCATCTCTATTTGCATGCCACTACTTCTCAGATCAGAATAAAAGGGCTCCCTCTAGAGGCTGTCACCAATTGTTGCAATAAAAAAAAACAGTTATTGACAAAATATAAATAAATAACAAATACAATAAACCTGCATCTACCTGATATCCCACAAAGTGTTTTAGAGCTGGGCCCATCTCATGAGCAACACGATGGGCCACGGACACAGCGCTGATCCGTCGAGGCTGCGTCACCAGGACGTTGCACTCGGCCCCCTTGCCCCCCCTTACACACTCCTCCAGCAGGAAGCGTGGGAGCCGTGTCGTTTTTCCGCATCCCGTTTCACCAGCGATCACAACCACCCTGGAGGACTGCACTGACGAGACCACACGCTGACGGTGGCCATCGACTGGGAGCTCCACACTCATCCCAGGGTTTGCCCTCTCCCATTCATCCTGCAGGTGAGCGTTGAGCTGCCGGGCCTCCTGTTCAGACAGAGGCCTGTATGGCCTGCCCGTGATGGCGTCTGTCACCAAGTCCTCCTCATCCTCCTGGTTTACGGTCTGCTGTCCTCTCGTCTCTTCCTCCTCCCAAAGCTTCTGTACTTCTGTTGCCACTGGGTACTTATAAAGATAAGATGTTAGCTTTGATATTAAAAAAGCCATGGCAAATGCCCGCTAAAGGCCGGGCTTGCAATCAGTGTTCCAATTCTTCCCAAAGGTGTTTACATGGGGTGGAGTTCAGGGGCCTGTGTAGGCCAGTCAAGCTGGAAACCCATTTATTTTTGGCAATAAAGATGAACAAGTTGTATGCTGTAGCATTATATTGGTGCCACAAACCGAGCCCAGACAAAAAGTACACAGATTAAACTTTTATTTCAATCCATCTCTCTGACATGAAGTGAAGACTGACCTGTGAAAGGTAATCTCTCATGTGTTCCTGCAGGTACTCTGGGATTGCCAGAGTCAGGGGGCGTCTCTCTCGCTCTCCAGCCTCCCTCACCTTCTCCCGATGGTACTTTGCGTGAGTCAGCGGGTTATTGTCTTTATCCAGCATTTCCATCTCCTAGACCACGTGTGACATGATATACATTTCAACATAGCTCTAACATGCAGGTTAAAATAGGTATAGTGGTTTTCCACAAGATATCCTCACTTTCAGTTTGACGCAGGCAAGAGCCGCAGCTCTCTTCTCTGCCGTCACTCGGTTGCTCGCTGTGGCCGAGAATGTCATCTCCTCTGGCCAGTGCAGGGTCAGCTCACACTTCTTCAGCTTCCCTCCTGTTGTCCTGTACTGCATCAGCTCCTGTAATGATAAGCGAGTCACAGGTTTAGAAAACATGATGAGTTAAGAGTGCTTAGCCTTCCCTGGGCAAAGGATGAGAGCTACCAACCCTGACTCTGTTGGAAGATGTGGCCACCTGGATGACCCTGGTGAGGAGAGATTTAGGTTGAGGAAACAGGGAGAGAGCCTCAGACATGTTGGAGGTGTCTTCTTCGGGAAACAGCCATTTTTTTTGTTCATCTGCTTTCGCTGTAGACACGTGGACATTTTCTGTCTGAGAGTCGAACTCGTTTTCATAAAGAGCCGAATGAAGCCCCCCTCTCCCCCTGCCGGCTTTCCTCCTGGGAAGCTGATTATTTGGACCAATGACACCCATTTCCTGTACACAAAGAAAGAGGGGAAGGGGAGTGATAAGGAGCAAATATCCCTACATACGGGTAAGACAAAAATGAGTGTCTGCTTTCCAGTCTGACGTCACTGCAGCTTACTCGGAGCTTGAGACAAGCAGCAGCTGCAGCAAATCGCTCTGCATCGATCTTCTTGGAGGCATGACCCTCCTCTTCAATCTTGCAGGGCCACAGTAGTGTGACAGTGGCTTTCTACAGAAATAAAGTTAACAAAACTTAGTTCTGCTCTCAATGACATGGCGTGTCCAGAAAACCCTATATCATTGTGAAATTTGTTCTGACCTTGACACCCTCATGTTCCGTGCAGCTGTACTGGATGAACTGGGACAGGTCGTTCACTCCCAGTGAACGGGAGATGGTGTTATTCAAGAGACCTTTAGGATCTGGAAACTCCTTCAAGAGGTTTGGGCTCACGTTACCTAAACAGTAACAACAGAGGCCAGGCACACAGCAAGGCCAACGATATTTTATTTCCACTCTTACCTTAGGCATTAAGACCCAGAGGTACAAGCATGAATGGCATGTTTTAACCACAGACTGTATTAACACGATGGATGCCCTTGAGTTTTAGCGCTGCTGCGAGCCGTCACCTGTTAGCTAAGTTTTGCTAACGGCCATTTTCACTCACCTCGTTTAACCTGGGAATATGATGTATCGTGTTCCTGAAAGCTTCTTGCTTTTGTCCGATACCACCGCATTTCTCTTCCCCAGTTGGACGCTGTTTTGCCTCCTGTATGTACACATTTGGCAATATTGCATAGGGCTCTGAGCCGCACGAGTAAAACACCGGGTAGCGCCATCTTTAAACTACAATTTCTTCTTCTGGCAGTGCGCTGAAGTCGTGTGCTCACAGCGACACTGTTGGCATAAGTGTAAATTATTCTTAAATAAATCAATCTTTTTTTTTTATAGTCTATGGTACTCAGTAAGCACTATTGAAACGAATGCCTTAAAATAACATAAATTAATATTTAATTCTGCTATTCATTTCCCCTTAATTTACACAACAATATGGAATATTTGTCAAGTTCCTTAATTGTAAATATATGGTTTTAATAAGCTGTATTTTTTTCCTAAAAGACAAAAACTAAACCCCTTAAAAATACATTCATTTCAAAAGCTCTTAATTAACATGCAAAGTAGATTTTTATGGGGCTTATAATTTTGAAATGTTTGACAAATCTCTCGATTATCAATTTTTTTTTAAATGAAGTTATTCAAGTGCTGCGCTGGACTGGCGACCTGTCCAGGGTGTACCACGCCTTTCGCCCGATGTAAACTGGGATTGGCTTCAGCCCCCTGCGACGCTGTTCGCAGGATAAGCGGTTGACGATGGATGGATGGTTATTCAAGCGGTTCATAAAAGACAAAAACATAACCCCATAAAAACACCTTAATTTCAAAAACTGTTAACAAATTACGTAGATTTTAAGGGGTACCAGACTCCCCTTAATTGACACATGAATTGAGAACATTTGTCATATCCCTCAATAATGAATTTGCCGGGTTTTCTTTTGTTAACTTTTTAATATATCATTAAGTTCTCAGGGGCAAACCCCTTAAAACATCTACATTTCAGAGGCATTTACGAACATGTTCCTTTAGTTATGAAAATCTTGATTATCAATTTGAGTTGGTTTTTTTTAACACATATTAATATATTTTCAGTATACACGTTTTTAAAAGGCAAAAACTAAACCCATTAAAACACCCTTATTGCCAAAAATAGTTTATGGGATACTTTCCTTTCCCTTTCATTAATTTACCCATGAGGACATGTGTTTTGCTATGGGATCCAGAAATAAATGGCCCATCAGAAAAACCAAACTGCCTTAATCATCATTTACAAACCCCCTTAAATTGCATGTTTATTTAAAAGATTCTGTCTTAATTAGTGCTGTTATAAGAAATTGTGCAGTTCCCCTTCTAAAAACCTGGAAAAAAGTCTTAAAATGTAGAAGCATAGTTATTTTAAGTCCTGTTTAGAAAAATAATCTTTGGTAGAGCCTCAACAACTGTAGGATTGCCACAGTCTTTTACCCACAATTGGTGTGGATAAAATGTGACAGTGGTATTGCCTGCAATCGCAATGTTGATACACAGCAGCCACCTGGAAAATGTAAGGAAATCTCCCAGGCTGTGACTGGTGTTGGTTGGAGTGCTTCCCATGAATAACACTGTGCGATGAGCCAGTTCTTCTGGATGAAGAGATGGAACTGGTGCTTGTCCTCCTCCTGGCTGTTACAACCGGTGAGTTCACATGAAACATTACTTTACTTTTTTTAAGTCAATTTGAAGCAATCTTTTATTTGACTTGGGAGAAAGTCACATACATTTCTTGGTTCTGTCTCTCACTGTAATAAAGTGTCTGGGTGTGGTGTACCCATCTACCAGCCCAACACCACCCGTGTGGTGAACGGGGAAGAAGCCCTTCCATACAGCTGGCCATGGCAGGTTTCTTTAGAGTCGTTCTTTCCCACTTGTGGAGGAACACTTATCGCTCCCAACTGGGTCTTGACTGCTGCACACTGCATCACGTGAGGAAAAGTTTATTTGTGGATAAACAGTTGTTATAAAACTAAAATAAATGGCATGTTGGGTTCAAGAATGAAAAAAAATAACAAAGTGGTGTTTCTAGCATCAGTCACATTACATTTCTAGGTTTTTTGACCTAGTCGCTTCCTTATGTAAAGTTATTAAAGATATTAACCTTTAAAATGTGTTAACAAGACATATAGTTTTTTATTTTCCTATTCAGATTTCACACGTACAGGGTGGTTCTTGCTGAGCATGACATGAACAAGGAGGAGGGACCTGAACAGTCCATTATGGTGGCAAAAATGTTCATCCATCCCAAATGGAACAATAACTGTGTGTCTTGTGGGTAGGTTGTCATCAACATAACCACTCCAGCTCTGTGGTAGATTAAGAAACACAGTAAATATGTCTTTGAAAAAGGTGCCAAGCCTGAGAATTTCTGTTGAACAGCAGCTGAGTAAATAGAAGTTTTGTAAATGTAAATGAATACACCATCTGTATCTACCAGTACTCTCTAAGCAATTTAAACTATATAATTATTGACATGTGGACATTTTGTGTGTTCATCCTGTTATGTAGGAATGACATTGCCCTACTTAAGCTGGAGAAAAGTGCTGTTATCAATGACAAAGTTCAGCTGGCTTGCCTGCCACAGAATGGGGTTTCTCTTGCCCACAACCAGCCCTGCCATGTCACAGGCTGGGGTCGTCTCTACTGTAAGACCTGCCACCCAGTCTGCTAACACTCAGCTCATGAGGGGTGTAGTGCACCTTTGTGCAAATCAAAATATGTCATTGCTCTGACATCTGCAGAAATGTATCAAATATTATTTAAGTGACCAGTTGCTCTTTTGTGATTTTCTCTTTAGCTAGTGGTCCTTTGGCAACTACACTACAGCAGGCCCTACTGCCTGTGGTGGATCACAGTATCTGTGGTCAAAGTGACTGGTGGGGTAGCTCAGCAAAGACAACAATGGTCTGTGCAGGAGGAGAGAGCAAGTCAGCATGCCATGTGAGGAACAACCCAAACAACGACATTCTTTGTGTGAAACAAACACTGTTCTGAATTGCTCTAATATCTTCCATTGTCTTTCAGGGCGACTCTGGAGGCCCTCTGAACTGTAAGGGCAGCGATGGTAAGTGGTATGTACAAGGAGTGACAAGTTTTGTTGACGGACGGGGCTGTAATACCCCTCGGAAGCCCACAGTCTTTACCCGGGTGGCCAGTTTCATCCCCTGGATCAGTGCGGTGAGGGAAGCCACATAAATAGCAATACGCAATCACTTTACATGACGACATAGTGAATATCTGCTATGTATGAAGTGTAGAGGCTTAATCCGGTGTTATTTCCCTTCAGACCATGGCCCAAAACTGAAGACATTTCCACAACTGAAGAAGTGGCTGATCAATAAACTGTGTTAATGACATTTTCATACTATATTTCTCTTGTATTTAATCAACATATATACAGATAACAACATAAAGAAACAAACATTTTAATCAGGTTAAACAATGCTGGAAAAAAGGACAGAACAAAGAAACAAAAACATATTTAACACTATAAAAAATGAAAGATCTGTTATGGAAATACAAAGACATGCTGTGTATATTTATTATACATTTTTTGTTATTAATTTGAATGGACTGGAATGGACTTTATTATGAACATATCTAGAAGTAAATTAAGTGTATATGGTTTGTTTATCTTTTATAAAGTACTCAAAAACAGACTAAAGTAAAATTGTTAAGAAATTTGAACAGAACATGATGGTTGATTTTGGATTAGCAGCTACAGTACATAAAATGTACTTTATATCCCAACAACTGATCATTGGACAAGATTGTTTTCATTCACCCGCCTTGGTTTTCAACACGCTGCAGCAAGTCATTACAACAGATCGTCATGGCTCTGAAGGAGTCCAGGTGAAGAAGTCGATTCCCTGCAGCTCGTCAGGTAAGTACTCCTGCTCTACTGGGCCGCTGAAGGCTGGATTGTATTTGTAGCCTTTAGCATAGCCCAGTTCTTTCATCAGCCTGGTGGGGGCGTTGCGAAGGTGTAATAATGGGACAGGAGGCAGGGGACCTTTGTGGTTCCTCAAACAGGCCTTCACGTTAGCATAGGCCTTGTAGATCTGCACAGACTTGGGTGCTCGTGCCAGATAGACCGCACACTGAGCCAGGATCACCTGTTGGGCCGTGGATGAAAGAAAGGAGGGCAACAGAGGTAAAGACACCGGGAATTATTGTAAGATTGGCTGGAGATCAGGTTGATCTGTCACGGTTAAAGACTCAAAAACTCATCACTGATTGCTCAGGTAAGCATACCTCACATTCAGGCATCCCGATGAAGTGACAGGCTTGGAAGGCGGACACAGCCTGAGGAAGAGCGGAGGGATCTGCCATACCTGAGAGAGACAACATGAGACGGAGGCCATCCAATCAGACTACATTAAAAGATACGCTGTCCGCTGCATTTCAGCGGAGTAATATTTTTCTTTCCTGAAATAGCACTAGCTGTCCATGGTCTCATATAGTGTTCCCATACAGTTTAATGGTTATGTGTAGGGGGTGCTACCCTGCCAGAGCGACTCCGGACAAGGCTTGGTGTGTGCATGTTTTTATGTAGGTTTAATTGTCTTTATGGTGGGTTTTTATCGTTGTCTTTTCAGGACGTTAACAGCAACAGTATTTTATCTGGCCTTCCTCTGGCTCATCATTACCAGTCAATGGCACGCAAATGGACTTTGTGTACAACCAGCACCGCCATTCACCATCAACCCAGACAGACTCACCTACTCATGGGATCACCTGTTGGAGCTAAACAGCCTTCAGCCGGATTCAGCACACGTATCCATCCAAACCAATAAAATTATTTTGGGAACAAAATGGAAGTGTATTCGAAGGAAAAGAGGTTCCAGTGGAGGGATATGCAACAGACTAAGGAGGAGAGGCAGCCGGCTATCTCTACCTGAGATAACCCTGTCAAACATGAGATCGCTATGGAATAAGACTGAGGAACCTTCATCGCTCGTCAGGCACAATTGGGATTATCGGCAAACCAGCCTGTTCTGTTTTACAGAAACATGGCTCTCTGAGGATACAGACTTTCAACTAGATGGTTTTAACATCATTCGCTTTGACAGAGATACACGGAAGTCAACTGGGGGCGGGCTCTGCATGGCTGTCAACAGCAAGTGGGCAACAAACTTTTCAGTGACAGAGACATGGAGCTGTAAGCATTATAAGCTGCTGACTGTGTCCTTCAGACCTCACTACTTACCCCGAGAGTTTTCTCAGATCACTGTCATTTTAGTGTATGTACCAGGGCCCGATTTTAATCCAGCTGCAAAACACATAGCTGACAGTTACAACAGAGCTGTCAGTCAGACTGGAGAACAGCCAGTGCTTCAACTGGTGGACACCAATCATTTACCCAACCTAGAGCAATATGTCACAACTCCCACCAGACTGAAGACCATACTGGCATCACAAATGCCTACATCTCAAAATCACAATCCATTTTACTTCTGCCAAGATATAGATCACAACTTAAAACAGGTGAACCCAAAATCCATCAGAGTCTGGAATAAAGAAACATCTGAAAATGTAAGGGTTTTTTCTGAAATGAGACTGGGGAATGTCTTTTTAAGGACTGTGGTGAGGACTCACATGCCCTTAAATATGTACCTACCTCTTACATTTTATTCTGTGAGGACACCCACCAAGAAAATAACTATTTACCTAAACAATAAAAAATGGGTTACAAAAGGACATGAAAATCTTCCTGGGCCAGATAAAAAAAGCTTTTCTGAAAGGAGACAAGCTCAGGGTGAGAGAGCTGGAGAAGGAGTTCAGGATGAAGAACAAGCTGGCTAGGATACAAGATAGAACAAGGTAGATCAGAAACTAACCTCTGAAAATGCGAAGGAGGCATGGCAGGGCTTAAACACCATAATGGGCAGAGCTCCCAAACAGATCCCACCCTTTGCAGAGCAGTTAAACAGTTTCTTCACCCTGTTCAACAGTGGCAGCACTCAAACCACCTTGAACTGCCCAACCCCCAGATCCTCCCTCCAAGCCATCATCTGGTAACCTCCTTCCTACAAAGGGTCCACACACATAAGGCCGCAAGCCCTGACAGGCTCAGAGGCAGGGTGCTCAAAGAATGCTCCACTCTGCTAGGTGGAGTTTTCACAAGGTAGTTCCAGCACCTCCTGGATTCCACCTGTGTTCCCAAACCATCTTATCTAAACTGTACAACCGCTCTGTGATCAGGAAGGCCACCCTGGTCACAGAGGACCCCTCTCGCCCCCTCCACCACTCTTTCCAGTTACTGCCATCAGGCAGATGATATAAAGTTCCACTGACCTGGAAAAACATTTACAAGAAATCTCTCATACCATCTGCAATAATCACTCTGAACAACCAAAAATAGACATTGTACAGCTGCCGTTTTTATTAAGTGGTGAGTCCACTTGCCAGCTACATACTGAAAGATAACAATACAGTAAATGACCAAAAGTAATGATGATAAAATTAATCATTTCACTTGCCCACATCCTCACTGGCAAAGCGGACCAGCCTGCGGGCCACATAGAGAGGATCCTCACCGCCCTCCAGCATGCGGCCCAGCCAGTAGAGAGACGCATTCTCATTGGATCCTCTCATAGACTTATGTAACGCTGAGATACAGTTGTAATGCTCTTCACCTTTGAGTAACACACACAAACAAACACAAAAACATCAATACATGTGGCAAGAGAATGAGACGTGTCATTCTTCAGGTGGCATTTTCACAATGGTCTGAAGAAACGCACAAAGAAACAAAAGAACAATCAGATCAGACCATTTACAGCCATAATGAATCCATTAAAGTCATTAGTCAAGCTGAGGCAGAGTTTCATGACCCTGTAAAGGGAACAGTAAATCTCAGTCTTTTGGGACAGCTGGTGTGTTATGTAACAGGGGAGTGTAGAGGACAGATGAAGTTAGAGAGGATGAAAGAGTGAATGAGAGTTATCCATAGAAAGATTAAATAACATTGATCTTATACCTTAGTTAGCTATTGCATTTAAGAAAATACCAAATTATAGTGTTTTCTTCTTTTATGGATGTACAGCATAGCAATCTTTAGCACAGTCATAGTTTTATATATCATTTTGTGGGGCTCTACTTAAATGTGTGTACTATAATACACACACACACACACACACACACACACACACACACACACACACACACACACACACACACACACACACACACACACACACACACACACACACACACACACACACACACACACACACACACACACACACACACACACACACAGAACACACATGTGGCACTCCTAACCAACCATGAGCACAGCTATAAACACCCCCAGGTTATAAGCATTGTTGAGTTTTTTATTCAATGCATTTCACGTGAAAGTCCTGTGACAGAACAGCGATCACAGTTTCTGGGAAGTAATATGATACGGCTGTTAAGTTAAAAAGTTCAAGTTATTTAGATGTTTAAAGTAAAGCTACTGATGGCAGGTGTTCTACTAAAACAGTCTGGATTTAAAGATGTGGATTTGTGAAATATGTAGCATTGTGTTAATGTGCAGAAATATTTTTTGATAACTGTCTGGCACACGCCCCCTTTAATAATCCTAAAAGGCGCTTCTTGATTCTGTTGAAACCATCTTTGTACCAGGCCTACTATTGCATGAATCCTTTTAAAATGGGCTTTGTCAGTGTTTTATAAATTACAGATGGCCATTAACTTCCATCCAGGCGTATTTGAACAAGCCTGTGATCCAATCTGTCATCGCAAGTACAAATTTTTAAATATACAAAACTGTAAACATCACAGTAAAATATAAAACCCGGGTAGGGCTGGGCAATGTGGCCAAAAATGTTATCACGATAAAAACATTTCGTATCATTTGATATCGATAATTATCACGATATGTCAAATCATTATTTCTTTCAAGTTTAAAGGCAGATTTTTGCTGCTGAGTGAAAACTGAAGAAACCAGATGGTTAAATGATTAAATTTTCTTTATGGTCAGAATGTGACAAACACTTGATGCCAAACAGTGGATCACTTCACAAGTCTGAGGTATCTTTTTCAACAAAATAAATATTTTAATAGAAAAATTAAGTGCTAATTGGTTTGTGATTCAAATGAATTAAAGCAAATATTTAATGATGATATATTGAACATTTATTATATTGTTATTGAGGAAAATTATATTGCGATAATTATCATTATTGTTTAATTGCCGAGCCCTAAACCGCGGTCATATTGGGTATTTGAGCAATACATTTCGAGATAAAGTTGGAACAAAAAAATATTTTGCACCTTCTTATCAAAGAGAAAGCTGGTAATCGGGAACCAAATTAAAAAGAATAATAATAATTTTTTTTCCTGTCCTCATCAGGAACACTTAATAATAACAGAAAAGAACCGTGTAAAAGTGCTTTACTACAAATATATTATAAGTTACTGGGTGCTTTGGTAAATCCAAGGTGCCCTAAAGTTGCACCTCAGATCATTGGGATTCACAGGGGTTACTTTGGTTAGTAACAACTGCAACATTGACAAAATAAGCCCATCTGGCCTTACCAGCTTTATCGTAGAGAATATGGGACCTCTGAAGACCTTCCTTGATGTGCTCCTCCGTCACCAGTATTTCCCGAGAACCATCTTGTCCTAATGACTTGGGCCGGGACAAGCTCACCTGAGCCTGAACAGCAAGCTGCAGACCATTGAGTCCTGCTCTTGCGTCACCATCACAAAGGTAGGCTATGGTGTCCAGAGCTTTTTGTTCAATGAAAATCTTTGGCCTAGGAAAATGGTAACATATATCGGATACATTGTATCAGTGTCAATACTTTTAAATATATTCTTCCTTTTGTAGCAGCATATTACACAATTGTTCTAGGAATCCACCAAGGAAATTTGAATTTTACATTAGATGTGCCAAAGACATCACCATCCTCATCTCAAATTGTCTTTGCTGATGAGACTTCACTGATTTTTAGCTCCTGAAAACCCAAAGTACCTCACAGGGCGATAGAATTCAACCCACAGGCGACTCTCTTTAGGTATGCACAGGGAGCATCATCAATATCCTTCGTGCCTGCCTTAATGCTTGCACTCTCCTCAAGTGTAACAACAACAAAAAAAACAAAAAAACAAAAAACCACACAACACAACACAAAAAACAAACAAATTAGTGTGTAGGAAAAGGTACATTAGACTTGTTTTCCCATCACCATATAACAGTTAACAATTTCAAATGTATATTCAATTTCATGTATAAAATAATATACAGTCGCCAGTTTATTAGATACACCTGGTTAGAACTAATGCAGTCTAATAATCAGTCCTGCAATAAACAAATCCTACCTTCATGAAGGTTTAAATGTTGAAACAGTTCTGGAGAGCTGTTGGAGGCTGTAGTTTGTGTTGCTAGTGAATTGTATTGCGCTATTCAGAGAGGTGTTTCTTTTATCTACCCTACCTAACTGATAATAATAGTGGATAAGACCACAACCACATACTTAAAAGAGGTTTGATGCTTTTGCACTTTTATGATGTTTATAAAAGTGCATGATAATGTACACTTAAAGGGGGGTTTACCATTCTGGAGAAATCCAATAACATGACAAGTTAGCTAAGTATAGGTTTAAGTATATCCTAAATAATACATATGACACAGATATTTGATTATATCTGTGGGGTTCATCATCACATACCAGACATTAATACTTGTCTCACTGTCTCCAACTCATTTGCTAATTCTACTCTTTCAGCCTATCAGGCCAGATCAGAGCTGGGGGGGATTGCTCTTGCTCCAATCACAACCAGTACACTCCTCATATATATTATCCAACTGAAGGATAAGCCAGGAACAGAAGAGAACAAGCCTCCCACTCAACCAAAGGATTTTGAGCTGCAGGGTGACACCTGTTCATGATGAAGGACACTAAGGGCTCAATCTCCAGGGGAGCACTTACTCGTGTCCATCTGATTGGTCTTCATCTTTGGGATTTGCTGGATCTCGTCCCAGGACTCTAATCCCCAACGTGGCCACGGCCCTGTCCAGGATCGAGCCCATCGCCTCCACGGAGAGCTTCTCCAGAACCAGCACCCTGCACCTGCTCAGCAGGGCGGCATTCACCTGGAAGGACGGATTTTCTGTGGTTGCCCCGATCAGAGTGACCGTCCCGCACTCCACGTGAGGAAGGAAGGTGTCCTACAGACACACATACATAGACAGAGAGAAAAGGAGACAGAAAACAGTGACCATCTATGAAATGACAAGATAGTAAGTACTTGTTTGACTATTATCATTACTCTTGGTTCTTTGTTTTATTTGCCTACGATGATGAAAGTAACTGACAACAGTAGCATTCCTACGTCTTTTCATGCTTTCATTCTTTTCAGCTCATTAAGCATGACTGAGCATCCTTGCTAGCTGACATAGGGATTTACTGTCATGTAGCACAAGATTACACACAGTCTAAGAATTAAAGTTAAAAAGTTAAAGTGTAGGAAGTTAGAAAGTTAAAGTGTAGGAAGCATACAGACCCTGAATGAGCTGCTGTATGTGTTGGCAATTTAACTTTTAAATGAGCACATTCTCATGATAGTTGTTAATGGCCCAGCATGTAACCCCTTACAACTAGGGATGCACCGATCCGATACTGATATCGGCCCGATACTGACTCAAATAGCTGGATTGGGTATCGGTGAAAAGCGGGCCGATCTAATCAGTTCAATTACACGCGTACTACATGATGCGTCAGCAGTGCGCCGGTAGACCCGAACATTTTGCTAGGATGGCTACATAGCTTTTTGTTTTACAAAGTTAAGAAGCAATGTTTAAGTTAAGCCTTACATGTGTGATTCTCTGTCACTTTCTCACAGTGAGGAATACAGCTTATCGGATGGGTACTCAGCATCGGCCGATACCCAAAGCCCAGGTATTGGTATCAGTATCAGGACTGAAAAAGTGGGCTCAGCACATTCCTACTTAGAACCACAACTTGTAATTTTCTTTTTTAAATTTATTTTTTTACCTTTGGACAGAGCCAGGCTAGCTGTTTCCCTATGTTTCCAGTCTTTATGCTAAGCTAACCATCTCTTGGCTGTAGCTTCATATTTAACTGACAGACATGAGAGGTATCGATCATCTTATGTAACCCCCAACAATAAAGCGAATAAGCATATTTCCCAAAATGCGAACTATTCCTTCAACCTATTTGACACAGAAATTGAAGAAAAATATGAATGCAAGCTTAATAATAATAATAAACTGTATTATTAAAAACCATTTTTTTCATTCTGCCGCAATAGTTATTTTAAATACTGGCTGGAATTTGGAGTTGCAGCTCACAATCCAAACACATCAGAGAACATCTTTCTGACTCAACACCTGCTGGGATTTGTTGAAGCGGTGAATTTCATCAATGAACAGGATGGTCTTCCTCTTGCACAGTCGGAGCTCATTCTGCGCCTGCTTAATCACCTCCCGGACTTCATTGGTGGACGTGCTGGTGGCGGACAGAGTGACAAAACGAGCTGTTCCCTTCTTTTTACTGGTGCTGGCAATTATGTGAGCTAGAGTGGTCTGAAAGACAACAAAACATAGAAATGATTTAGATTACTTTTAAAAACAAAAAAACATTTGCTATGCCTTCTGGAATCTAAACTCCAAAACCATCATTACCACACATCAAGAAAAACATTTCCTTCTTATCAATGTGGGGAGTATGTTAATAATTATTAACACCTATGTAGCATCTTTGATCTCCAGTTTTTGATCTTCCTGGTCATATAATACACCTCCCTTTACTCGTAAATCTAGTCTTCCGCAAATCCTTCTGACAAGCTCCAAAAATAAGGCCTCAATTGTGAAACCTGAACACTGCAAGACAACTGACAGACGGAGTTAAAGAGGCAAAGTGTAACTGAAGCATGGTGACAACGTCTGAGCATGGCGAGCTGCTGTATGACGATCCAACCCAGTAGGTTGACATACCAGGGAAGTCATTAACATGCTGTATTCAGGTTGCTTACTCTTTCAACTCTCATTTTATCAAATGCAGTAGAGAAAAGAAATCAATGCTAATAAGTGAAAATGCAGTATCTTAAGTTTTAGTTAAAGAATAAAGAGTAAGTTATGTGTTTTAAGTTATGTGAATTAGCTGAAGAAACAGGATACTGTTTAGCACTACTACTGCTTGTAGGAACTACTGGCTACTTAGTGGTGAACTAATTAGATAGATAACTGACAGCAATATTTATCATTAATTAACTGTTGAAGTAATTTATCAAGAAAAAAGAAAGCAAGAAGAAAGAAAAAACATTCACTGGTTGCTGCTTCTCCTCTCAAGTTTGTAAATGAAATATCTTTTGCTTTTGAACTGTTAGAGGGACGCTCATCATTAAAGATGTCATGATGGACATTTTCTAAACCTATTTCCTAACATTTGATAGATTAAATAATCGAACATTCCATTAAAATAAAGACAATGCCAATAATCTATGTTGCAAGCAAATTACATTTTCTCTATTTATGTCATTCCGTAGACCAAGTGACGAATCGATAACACAATCAGCAGATTAACCAATGATGGAAATAATAAGTTACGGCTGTTACAGGATCAATTTAGTCAGTTATATATATATATAAACTGACTAAATTGAAGATAATTATTTACCTACCTACTTATTCATAGAGTGTAGTGTTTTTTTAATGAGCAAGGAGTATATGTAATTTCAAGATTTAAATTGTTTTTAAAGCAGTAGGCTGTTGTAGTATTACACATAAAACAGAGAGGGAAGTAATTGAGGGTAGGGGGTGCTTCATCACCACACCTTTCCACATCCAGGTGGCCCCCAGAGGATCAGGGATGGTATTTCCTGGGAGTCCAGCAGTGACCGGAAGAGTGTCTGCTGGCCTACAACTTTACTTTGACCGAAGTATTCCTCCAGTGTGTTTGGTCTCAGTATCTCAGCCAAAGGCTTGTCTATTGTTAGCAGCGTCCGTGGCGACACATCATTTGATGACTTCAAAGTCTGTCCGTTTGATCCTGTGGGTTGGCTCTTTAGATTCTCAGTACCTGCTGGTCCAGCTTCTGCCTCGCTCAGCAAGTTCACTTTACCTCCCTTGTTGACAGCAGCGGCAGCAGTTTGTTTACTTGAAAACATCCCGCCTCGTTCACTTTGAACTGAAACTTTACTCTTGTTGGCCTGAAATAGAGAAAATACCGAAGATGAAGGCGTCCCAGCCACGCAGGAGGAGCTGGCCAGAGTTTTGTTGACACTGGGACTGGGTGGTTCAGCTTCGGCGCTGATGCGAGTTTTCTTTAAAGGAGGCTCGCTCTCGTTCATTGTAGACTGACTGCTGTCGCTTTTCATCAGACACGCGTCGAGGTGTCCGTTAATTGTAGCAGGTTTAAAGTCTTTAAAACAAACGGGACATTGCACCGAGTCCGGTGCTGTGACGCTAGATGTCATGTCGCTCGCCATGTTGATTCCCGCTAAACTTTTGACCTTTAATCACGTGACCAAACACTGTTGGGAGATTAACACTAACGTTAACCAGAGAAAGTTGTTTTTGTCTAAACGTTATTGCGAAACGCAACGTTTGTTAGTTGAATATAATATTTACTATTTATTTTATATCAATAGTTTGTTAATTATTTTTTTTAGTGGACTTCCTTTCATTTCTTCGCTGTCTGTGTGCATTCGCGTGCTGATGAAATAGTCCGACATTAGCATATTTTTGGTCTAGCTTATGGTTTTCGGAACAAACACCAGTCCAACGTTACATAAGGATGGACACCCCGGAGTGGGAGAGGAGTCGTTTTTGTTTAAACCTTTTGGAGTATAAGTCTTGCTAAAGTTGCAAATAAACTGTGTGACTGTAACGCACTGTGTTTAATGGGGGTCAAGGAATACTATTTTTCCTTTTAGTACCTGAATGCAGCAACTTTAACAGGCCTGGAGCATAGAGGACCCTTAGACTGTGTAAAAAAAAAAGACAAAAGGGAGAACCTCAGGGTTCTTGCAAATAATAAAGCTATTCAAGTTTGTTCATAATAAAAAATACATTTATAGTGATAGAACACCTAACAAATGAACAATTTAACCAAACAATAAATCAAATTTTAAAGCATTAATTGATATGTGATTGGCTAGATTACCAATCAGGTCAGTGGTGGTCCTATAGCATGATACCAAACTTACAAATACTCTGTCCATTTTAGTAAAAATATAGTATAATCAAGGAAATGTACTTAAAAGTTAAGGTACTCAATGCAGAAACGTGTTTCCTTCGACTGCTGAGCTGATGATACAAGGGGGGCAACTTTTTGAGCAATGTTGTTGGTGGCAAGTCTGACTATGTTTTGAACGGATAGCGGAGGGCGGGGTGGGTGGCGGAGTGGTGGGGGAAGGGGATTACAGTAGAAATCTTTAATCATTAGAATTGACGGCAACATTTCCCAGCACCATTGCTCTAAAAGTTGCTCTGTGTATCATCAGCTTTATACTATTATATCATTAGATTATTATTACTCCTTCATTCATGTAAAATAATTATTGAGGTGGAGCTAATTTTAATTATTTTGTTTAAGACTGCAACTAATGATTATTTTAATTATGGATTCATCTGCTGCTTAATTTGTAAAATATCTAGTAACAGCTGTCAAATAATTGTACTGATGTTAAAGGTTCTGTATATCCCTTTGAAATGTCTTGGAGTAGAAGTATAAAGTGGCATGAGAAGAAAATACTATAGTACAAGTATTGTTGAAAGCGGAGAGATTTACATTTATTCATTTAGCTGCTATATATGTCAGAGGTCGCACACCTCTGGAGCAACTAGAGGTTAAGTGTCTTGCTAAGGGACACAATGGTGGATCGCCACCACAACCCATATTGTAATATGAATTGAAATGATAAGGTCCTTATTATGGATGCTCTTTTATTACCTAATCTTGAGGGAGTTATGTGCTTGTGTGTTGCATATACCTATGTGTTTAATCAAATTACTACACAGCAAACCTAGTATTACAGAATATTACAAATTGCGCTGAGAGTGTGAAGAACGGGGGTAAAAGGCTAGAAGCTTAAATTCAAATTTGTAATTAAAAAATGAACCAGGGGATTTATTCATTGAAAAATAGGTTACATTAAAAGGGATGTAAAAATAGTGACATTAACCAATTAAAAGAGAGGTTAATTAATACATACACCCATTATGAAATTACAATTTGAAAAGAGAAATAAGTGACTTTAACCAGTAGAATTTTAATTTGCATTTCCATTAGATTTTCTATTAATTTTGTTTTTTACAAGCTTGATTATCTTTTTCATGAATCATCCAAGGCCAGTTCATCAGAGATTTGCTTTATTTTAACAATGGCTAAATATCTGTTGGTTTCAATGCCATGCAAGACCCTCAAGGTTCTCCTTTACAGAAGCTACAAACTTACAATATTATGGTACTTAAGTATTTTAGCATTTGTAGGAAGGCTGATTTTATGCAGCTATTTTCGTACAAACGTAGTGGTACTTAGCGGCGGCCTTTCTCTGTTTACTTCTCTGCTCAGATAAAAGACCCAAGAGAAACACACCAGAGAGGTCAACCAGGCTGGAAAGGCGGAGAGAGATTTTAGAAGGAAAGTGCTGGCAGCCAAGTGTCCCCCTCAGAGAGAATGGCCAAGCTGAAGTCAGTTCATCAGTGTGCCAACAGCCGAAACATGACCAAGCTGGCCTTATTCCCCTACTTGGAGAAGGTGAAAACCATGCGCTGCTTCTGGGAGATGAAGTTTGATCCAGAGGTATTCATGTAGCTCCCAAATTCCATATAAAAGATACTCATGCTATGCCAGCAGGTGCACCAGCAGAGGGTGGTAAAAGTCACATTTTTAAATAAGAGGAATGCTGTACCTGTGTATGTGAAATTACACTGCTGATGCTCTCTTTATAGTACAAATAAAAATTTGAGACAGGTATTTTTAGAAATTATTTAATAAATAAATAAATATTTACCATAGTAACAAATGACACCATGATGTTGAACACCTACTCAGCACACTACATACTGTAAGTGCCAAAGGTCAGGGGAAATTGATAGTTTTGAATATGTCAATTTCATCAATGGTATGTAGCCAACTGAGTGGGCAAAAATAGTGTAAAGCATGTAGTCTGGGATTCAATTAATCACATGTCGCAGATGTAATTTAAGTAGTGTACTATAAAGCAAACTGAGACATTGTGTGTAATCAAAGACCAGTTTTGCTTTTTTCCATGGCAGCCAAGATATTCATTTGAGCAGTGAGAGCACAGCTCCCATCCAAAAGTGAGCTCATTATTTTATTTGGCAGAGCCAGTGGTGAAGCCAGAGGAGGGGAGATTTCCAGAAATGCTGTAAATAGCTGTAATTGGCTACTGTCAGCCATAAGATGCTTTCTTGCATGCATTGTAGCCTTATGGCTTTCACACCAAAAGTATCATTGTTGCACAATACAGAGTGGTTTGACTCCTCAGAGATACCATCCCATACCATTTATTAAATAACCTATGCCTTAAATGTTCATTTGGATTGGCATAATAATATTTGTTATATTTGTATGTACACAACATGCTATCATTCAGGAGTCAAACAATAGTTCATATAATATTGCCTAAGTTGAGACTGTATAAGCCCCCATGTCACAGTCTGTGTGACATTTGGAGCGGTAATCCAATAGTACAGGCTATTTATTTACACCACAGCCAAGTGTTTGTGTTGACAGGGAGACTAGACCCCCTATCACAATTCTCTCAGTTTTCAATGTAATTTTGGTTTTCGGTGGACTGTGTCTTATAGTTTATTCAGTGAGGAGAATAAAATATTGAAGGATAAGATAAAGTGAGAGAGAACTTGTCTCTCAGACACCCTTTGCTGGCACCTGTCACTTTTTTGTCACGAGGACAAAGTGACCGTCCTTTGGCTCTTAAGTGCTGATGGGAGTGGGGCGTTGACTGAATTAACAGAGGATAATGAAGCATTACTGTTTGGGCGGTCTTTACCCCAGGAAGGAACTGTCATCTCCGCCAACTCTCCACTTGAGACTGTTCTCCCTAAGCTCCAACAGGTCCATAGTAGTTAAATATAGGAAAAGCAAGGCTATAGCAGGAAGGATGAAGAGTAAAGTTAAAGCCATGGAGAACTTTGTCACAGGCTGGGAGATTTGGCTAGTCAACAGCATGTGTCTGGTCGCCTCTTACATCTGGCACAGGCTGTGCGATTTACTCTGCTACAGGAGGAGGCACAGAGCATCCACTCCACCTGCCATTCAGGTATATACAAGGCCGTTTGACTTGTTGAATAATACTCAAACATTAGCTAATGAACCAGCTGGATGGACCAAGAATTCCCAGTATGCTCTTTCATATAGTCAGTGTTGTCTTTATGTTTTAATGAACTTCCAGATGGGCCAGTACAATTTTCTACCTTTGAGGGCTGTAAAGTTGTATTCTCTTCTATTCTATTCCATTGAAAATCCATGTAATTTCATTGTTACTACGAGTCCTACTGAGAAAATGCAGATCAAAAGCTCAGCTGTGTCAGGACTTTGCTTGATTTGCTAACACCTGCATAAGATGCATATAGGATGCTAGGTCTATCATGCTGCTAAAAGTTTTTTTAGAAGAAAACATGTTTGGGTCATGTTGGCATAAACTTATGATTGTTTTGTTCCTTTACAGTAAGCATCAGAGAAATGTATGTAAGGAATGTAGTGTATACTGCAGAAAATCACCTTACGTATTCTATTGTATTGTTCTCAATATGGAACAATATTGGATGGTTGTGTGAATGCCTCTTGATGGACTTTATACGGAATGCCTTGATCAGTAACTAATACTATAGATCCTGTCAACTATGTTGGACTATCTTCAGAGGGGAGCTCCAACATTTAACATCCTCCCTTACTTGATAATCTTACTGTCCTGGAAGAATAGTCATTTCAAAAAGTCTTTACTGACACATTGTTTTGTTTCTTTTTCTGTCTCCTCCTATTGCACTGCACATCATTTTTACTGCCTACATCTCTTAGAAGCATCTAGAGTTGTAACATCAGTGTGTTAAAAAAAACTAACATAAAAAATAATGTATGTTAAAGATGGCACTTTGCAGAAGAATTACATACAATAATTAAAGCCATGTCATTAAAATGGGCACCAGAGACAGCTGGTGTTCTCGCTTTCTCTTTATTTGTTGAAGTTATTCTCATAGATGTTATACTTAGTTTCCTTGAAAGAGGCTATGATGTGCAGTTGGCTTTAAATACGTGATTTATAACTCATGCACGACAAGACTTGGAATTCTAGGGGCAAGATCCAGCCCACATGTTCTATTAGACACGAGTTGCCAGCAGGGAGCAGAGGCATGGTGCTGTTGTGTTGTAGCATCAAATTTCATGTAGCGTAGGCTCTTAGCTTTGTTTTGGGTTTAATTTCATTTGTGCATTATTTGGGCAATGATATGCTTACTTTTGTAC